GTCCTGGGATCGAGTCCCACATCGGGCTCCCTGCTCAGCAGGGAGTCTGCTTCTCCCCCTGACCCTCCCCACTGTCATGCTCTATCTCATTCTCTCTCTCAAATAAATAAATAAAATCTTTAAAAAAAAAAAAAAAGATTTGAAATTATTTAATTCATAAATGGAAACTTAAGATGTTTGTTTTAAAACTAGGAGTAATATTTTTTAATTATGTGAACTCTAGTTAAGGTTATTCTATAGGGCCGCCTGGGTGGCTCAGTCAGTTAAAGGTCCAACTCTTGATTTTGGCTCAGGTCATGATCTTGGGGTCATGAGATCAAGCCAGGCTCTGCGCTGCGTGAGGAGCCTGCTTCAGATTTTCTCTCCCTCTCTGTCCATTCCCCTAATCTCTCCCCCCACCCACTCTCGCTCGCTTTCTCTCTCTCTAAAAAAAAAGTTTAAATGTTATTCTATTAAATAGAAGTATTTTCTTCCAATTCTTTTTGTGTACAGTAAGATTATAGTGAAGAAATCCATTTAAAAATTTCATCTTGGGATCTAAGGGTTTATGTTGTTCATTATAAAAAATGTAAGAATTTGGAAAGGAATGTAGTACAAAATTTAAATTAACTTAGCAGTACTGCTTTTGTTAGTGAGTCTTAAAACACACTAAATTGCTTTAATGTTGTTTAGTAAACAGTGAAATAAAAGGATAGGGTTTTTGTTTTATCTTTTTTAATTTTTCGAGGACCTGTATGATTTCATCAAACAGGGACAAGAAGGTTGCTTTGTTTTGTTTTAAATGCATTTTTCTCCTTAATATTCTCTCTGCAGGATAACTTCAAACTAATGTGTACTAATGCTATGATTTACAACAAACCCGAGACCATTTATTATAAAGCTGCAAAGAAGCTATTGCACTCAGGGATGAAAATTCTTAGCCAGGTAAAGGAAATTCTTTGTCATAAATAGTAACTTATAAAATCTGTATACCTTTGTTTTTTGGTTAGAGTGATAGAGATCCAGTACAGTACTAGTTTTATAGGCGGATTATATTAAAGTAGGAAATATTAAATGAAAAAAGTTTTCATACAAAGAAAATTAAAACACGAAATTCTCATTTGGAATTGATACAAATAAGTACTAATTATTTATTTAGAGGCTGTTGAATTGGTTAGTCACCAGATGGATTTATATTTGCTGTGAAAGAAACATCACCCTGAATTCCAGGATAAGATTGGTGAGATGAATTATGAGGCCTGTTGGGGGGAAAGCTCTCTACTTCCCTTTGAAGGATGGACTCTGATGGTGAAGCACAGGAACTCCTTCCAGGACAAAGAAAATGTCAGTGAGCAGTACCCTGCTCTTTGCCACCTCCCTGCAGGAGCACTCCTCCTGGAAGGGCCAGAACTGGTACCATAGTAATGTGGCTGAGGTGGGAGGGACACTTCATCATCAAGCTTCATGAGACGGCATAAACATGACAGTTTATTCGAAGAGAGGTTAGTGGCAGAAAAGAACACGTGCTGTCTCAGAACAACTGCTGATGGGATGGGGGGAATTGAGGGGCTCGCTGTGCACCTGCTGGGAGAAAAGGAGAGTTCACAAGATAAGTCGTGTCTTTTGAGGTTTTACTCATGGCTCTGAGTAGGATGGGAAATTAACGGAGGTGATCCTGGCAGGAAGTCGGAGTTCTGGTTTTAGCTCTTTGCTCTAACTTGTGGACCTTGGGCAGGACATGAACCATGCTGGGCCTCGGTGTTCTCATGTCTGGAGAAGACATGGTTTAAAGTGGTTTAAAGGTTTAAAGTGCAGTCTCCCAAGATAATTGCCAGTGTTAGGGTGCTGACTCTCATTAAGAGCTAAGTAGGCAGGAGACTACAAGAAAGGAGAGCAAGGCAGGAGAGGGATTTTTCGAAGAAGAGACAAGTGGAGGTATAAGACAGGAAGAATGAGAAAGAAATCAGAATGAAGAGCTTGGGCCCAGACTCAGAGGAGTTAAAGGAGAGTAGGAATGAGTCATGTGTAGATGCACATGGTTTCCCACTTGTTACAGTGACCATCTGTATCACAGTTTTAAAGAATTGTCTTGGTGTGCAGATGTCTGAGTGTGTGCTTGGCTCTAAGAGATTCTCAGATCCATTTAACTGGGCAAAGAAAAGCATTTGGGTTGATGAGTATTCTTGCATTCCTAATATTCAGACAGACAGCATCAGTTCCTACCCTTTCCTATAGACATAAGAAACTGTAATGTAAACCAGGTACCCATCTTTGGCAAAATCTACAAAGGAAAGGGGACTATAAAATGTTTATCCCACTCTTTGCAGGAAGACTCAGAATCCAGACCCACGCCATATTCCAGGTTTAAAAATCTGCAAATTACATTTGAAATAAATGTGCATCCCGCAAATGTAGTCTTTAGTCACTCCACAATATGTACATTAAATTTTTGGGAGAAAGTTGAATTTGCAGTATCCCAAGTAAATTTATCAACTTTGATTTATCATTATCTTCTTTTTTTTTCAAATAATGTAGTTAATATAACATGCAAAAGATTCCAGTATCTCTTGAATTTTACTGGGGGTGGGATGGCTGGAAGTACAGAAAATAAACTTTCTTCTCCACTTTCCCTTTTCTCTCTCTGTTGTCTTCCTTTTTTTCAGATCTCTTCCTGTTGAGGAGCCCTACCCATCCTGTGTTATAGCTTCCTGTTGACTGTTCTCTCCACCCTAAATGGGAGGGATCCTTACAACAGTGATTTTTTAAATGTTTAAATTTAGATCTTCTTGAGTTAACTCTTCTGATAGCGGTACTCCCAAGGGAGCCCAGCACACCTTTCCATGAATGGTGTCTTTTTAAAAGATCACTGGTTTTGAATGTTCCGTGTAAAGATTGTAGAGCAGTCATTTATCATTTTTTTCATTGACACACAAATAGTGGCTATTGGTAGACATTTTTATAAAGAATGGAAATAGTCGAATAACTTTTTTGATCTCCTAGATAAATACTAGAATGCTGCATTATACTACAAACAAAATAGTACAACTCCTGTTTGTAGCATGGTGGCTTTAGAATCAAGGTTCAAGTCCTGGCTGTGCCCTCGAGACGCTGAGTGACTTGGGCAGGCTGTGCGCCCTTGCTCCGCCTCGGTAGACCTTAGCGGCCAGGCGGCCGTGCCTGATGCGTGTGTAAGCACCCGCGTGGTAGCTGTGGCAGAGTCCAGCCCTTTTAGCTGTTTAATGTTGCAAAATTGAGGACTGATAAATAGTATGCTGATTTGGAGACATCTTAATTATTTTTAAAAAAAAAAAGACTTTTCAAAGTAAAATGAAACCCAGCTTTTTCCAATGATTTGTGTTGAAATTTAGAAGATTTCTCTAATTCTTTTCATTTTGTGTGTGTTACGTTTTTAAAAACTTCAAAATGTTTTTAATGTAGGTTCTGTTTTATAAAATTCTAGAGTGGAAATAAAAAGATAACTGAGAACTTCATGATCTAAGCCCATTCATTTAACACCATTTATACTTGCAGTGTGCGAGCTTCTGATTTAGGTACTAGAGATAGAGCTGGGTAAGGAATTACCTAAGTGACGTACACAAGGGAAAACACAAATGGCCGATAAAAAGTTCCAGAGATAATCATACTCACTAATATTTTTTAAGTATGTATTAAAATAAGACATTTTTTTAAAATCGGCAAATTTTTTTAAATACTACTCAGTTTGATAAGGATTCAGAGAAACTTTCGAACACTGATATATACATTGATAAAACTTCTCTGGAGAGCAGTTTGGCAGTAAATATCAAAAGCCTGATGACCTAGTGTTTCCACTTCTAGGAATTTTTTTTTTTTTTTTTTCAATATAGTTAACATACAGTATCACTTTTGGGAATTTATCCTAAGGAGAGATTCTTGAAGAGATTTAGTTATAGTGACGTTCATGAGACTTTTATATGTAATAGTGGAAACTTGAAATAATCTAAATGTCTAATAGGGGAATATTAATTAGACCATGGTACACAGGATAAAATACTACACACTTACTAAAAACATTTTAAAGAGTATTTAATGATATGGAGGGAAAATGATTGTAATTTATTAATGAAAAAAATTCATGTTACCAAATATTCAGTATAATTCTAATTAGCTAATATGTGTAATGCTTAGAGAAATACTGGCATAATGATAAACAAGGTTTGTATTTTCTCCTCTACCCAAATCTTTGTCTACAATGAAATATATTACTTGGATAGTTATAATAAGACTACCTTAAAATAAAAGTTCAGTAAAAATAGCAGGTCCGCGTTCTGGAGGCTCTCACGGTCTGCATTGCTAATTCAGCAGTGTAATGAGACAGGGCCCCTCATGGGACCCCAGAGCCCTGGCCTTCGTCACTGGTTCTCTGACCTTAGGTGAGGCATTTAGCATTTCTGGGCTATGTTGTTCTTATTTGAATGACCTCTGGTCCTTTCCAGTTCTCAGTTTCTATTATTCTGCAAAAGTCTTCCCTGGCGTTGCCATGCAGCCCTAAGGAGACTACACTCCATATTTTATCCAGTGACAGTGCTCAGAGTTAAAAAGCAGAAGTCACTAGAAACAAATGTGCCTCCAGAAACCTCAAGCCCTTTACCACAAAGATAATTTCACAGCATATCAATGCAGTGGAAAATTAAGTACGTGTTTCACAAAATAGAAACAAGACTTCTTTGGTAAGAACATTATACTTTCTGGGAAAGAAACTGTGCTAGCAACCTTTTATTCTCCTGGAAGCATGTTGTTTTCACACAGAGAAAAATGCCAGCGTCCTCAGTGGTTATCCTAGGATACCAGAGTATAAGGGTACTTCACATGTTCACATCCTCTAGCTTTTGAAATACCTGATAATTCTTAAATTTCAAAAGATAAGCCATTCTGTTAAATACAAAATTTAAACATGCTATTAAACTAAATTCTCCTTTTTAAAGTTAGTACTGCAAAGAATACTTAGTATTTATTCATGCTTTCTCCTCTGTGAACGTTTTGATGATGTAGTCAAGTTAAAAAGCATTCTCTTACGTTGGAAATTATCTGAATTGAAGGAATAGACTGTATTGCCCTGGTTCCCAAACATACTCTCTTGGTATAATTACATTTAATTGCTTTTCTTCCCTAGTTAATGACAGAGTAAGTGCAAACTCACATTGTGAGAAAGAAATGCATCACTTTAAAAATTAATGACAAATATGCAATGAGACTATTCTTGAATATTTTTAGGAGAGAATTCAGAGCCTGAAGCAGAGCATAGAATTCATGGCAGACTTGCAAAAAAGTCGAAAGCAGAAAGATAGAACAGACACCTCGCAGAGTGGGGAGGACAGCGGCTGCTGGCCAAGAGAAAGGGAAGACTCTGGAGATACTGAAGCGCAAGCCTTCAAGAGTCCCAATAAAGAAAACAAAAAGTAAAAAATCTTTGGAATATTTAAGTTAAACTATCTTTTTCAGACCAGTAAGGGGGAAAAATCCTGGTTCAGTGCCTGCCTTGAGAAGAGGTCTACCCGTGGTTGGTTGGTTTTTGGCATGAAAGTCCATTTCGGTGATAATGATCCCCACCTTCTCCTACAAAGCATTATATGCAATTGTTTAAACATAGTTCAGAAAACAGTTCTGAATGTGTATTCTTATGAAAGTAGTTAAACCAATAAATTATCTTTAGGGACTTATTATTAGTGAAATTTATTGAAGTAGAACTCTGTTTAAGAAAAAATCTGTATTTTTTACCTCATTCCATAAAGGGGTTGAAACCGTAAATTTACAGGTGAAGCTACTTCCTAAACAGATGGGCTGTTGCTGAGGTGTGTGCGTGTTTTCCACCAGACATCACCTGGTAGGAGCGATAACTCAGTACTGCCCCCCCCCCCCCCGGCAGCCCCGGGCATGGCCGGACACAGCTGTGGCCACCTGGTCACACTACTGACTCACTAGCAGCCCTGAGGCCCCGCATCTCACTGTCAACTCTGGAAGAGGGTTCTAGTGAGTAGGCTGGATTTCTGCTGGTGTAAGGCAAAGAGAGTAAACTTGTGACATATTTTTATTGTATTTCTAAGATTTGTACAATTCAAATGTATTTTTTTTTTTAAGATTTTATTTATTTGACAGAGAGACAGCGAGAGAGGGAACACAAGCAGGGGGAGAGGGAGAAGCAGGCCTCCCACTGAGCAGGGAGCCCGATGTGGGGCTCGATCCCAGGACCCTGGGATCATGACCTGAGCCAAAGGCAGATGTGTAACGACTGAGCCACGCAGGCGCCCCCAAATGTATTTCATTTTAAATTTAGAAACTGGACTTTAAAAAGAAAATGATGTGTCCCTCCCCCTTCAAAATATGTTTGAGGTAGAGTCCATTTGTGTGACTGTATTGAGAAAAATGCTCAAGACAAATAGCGCTGGACACACAAAGGCGAGAGCTAAGCAGGCTGTTGGGCTGGCCTGCTATGAGCGTGCTCCGGGCTCTCCCGGGCCCCCGAGGAACAAAGCTGTACTTGGCGACCGTAGGGCAAATGCCTCCGGTTGAGTTGTGCTCCTCTTTGGAATTCATTTTAATGTTTTCATCTTATCTTTTTTTTTTTTTACTTAGTATTAATGTATGTTTTCAGGAAAGACAAAGATATGCTTGAAGATAAATGTAAGAGCAATAGTTTAGAAAGAGAGCAGGAGCAGATTGACCGCATCGTTAAGGAATCCGGAGGAAAGCTGACCAGGCGGCTTGTTAATAGCCAGGTGACGGGGCTTTTTCATTCTTTTCACTACCTACTGTCTGGTTGTCTGGGGCTTGCAGTTTTCAGATTGCTTGTGCACTTTTAACCCATACCATACCTGCCAAAGAGCTGTTCAGTACAACACCCAGAGAAGAAAATTATAATAATTTGTAAAGTACATAATGAATCTTTTCCTCTGTTACTGGATTTTAGTGATGTTAATGTGTTCTAAACTTGGAAAATGAACATTTATACTCTGGTCTCTTGAAATCATTGTTTAGCACATTGGTTTTAAAACCAAATGGATTAATACGTGACTTTCGACAGGTCACTCCCCTCCCCTGGTCTCCAGTATCTTCCTTTTTCAATAGGGAGGGCAGAGCGGAGGGGCCCAAAGGCCCCGCACAGCTCTTTACCAGCCTGAGTTTTCCCTAACCTTCATTTCTGCAGCCCATTAGCCACTGTGTGTATGGAGCGAGGTGGGAAAGTCAGTATCCAAGTGTAACACTAGTAACTCATAATATTGGTTTGGCTAAATTTAAGGCTTTCTAGTGTGAGAGAGAGATATATATATGTACACGTACTTGCATATGAATGTGGTAAATATAAAACAGTTTACCACATTTGAATACTTTGGGTCATTGCAGTGTGAATTTGAAAGGAGAAAACCAGATGGAACAACAACATTGGGGCTTCTCCATCCTGTGGATCCCATTGTAGGAGGTAAGTTCACAGATCAGAATGTGCATGAACTTGCTGTTTGGCAACAAGCAGTAGTCTGGGTGACATTTTAAAACAGCAAGCCTGATACTGAGCAATCCGACTGTATCGTCATCCCCAAAGAACTTGGCTAGACATTGTGTATTTTGTGCTAATACCTAGCCCGGCTTTACCTCATCTTAAAGCAGGTACTATAGAGATCCACTGTTCTTTAAAATACAAAGTCCTTGGAATACCAGACCCACCATTAAAGCCAAAAAATGACGTAATTTCTAGCTCTGGCTCTAAGAGACTATGTGTGTATGCTCAGTTATTTCAGGAGGTATCTCAAAACCCTCTTATTATAACATAATAAATTTGGCTTTTTAAATTTCAGTGACTAGAGCAAATATATATGCCCTGTAGTACCTTAGTAGTCATGGAATAACATGCATAACGACACCACGTCTTCCACTGTGGCTGGTAGAAAGTTGGTAAAGGTTGGGAAGCATGACTTTAGAAACCCCGGTCATATTTTTATTTTCTCAGATGGTATTTTAAGGGCGATAGTATAGGGATTCCAGTTTGAAATTTGATGTAAGAAGAAGAACTTTTTGTCATTCATCTGAGGGGGAGGGAGTCATGTGTCAGGATAAGCAAAGGTGAGAATGTTATTTTGTAAATACCCATTTTCCTGCTGCCGTTACAAGAGCAAGCATTGGGCATACGGAGACGAATGATGACACTTCAGGGAACAGTCTCCAGGACTTACCGTTTTGCTGCGGGCAAGGCCTGGGAGCTGGAAGTGGAGCGCAGTGTGTCGTAGGGGACAACGGGAGGCACGCGTCCTTTCCCGTCTTGTCTGTGGGGTGGGGCATGGAGGCACGAACGCCAATCACTGCGTGAAGAGCTGCCGCTCGTCTGCCTGGAAGAGGGCAGCTGTGACAGGACACAACAGAAGGGACCCGTCTAGTGTCTGGGGGCCAGAGAAGGCTTCCTTATTCCTTAGCAAGGTGATGCTTAGGTTGGTCCCAAAAAAGTGAGTGAGGGTGAGGGGCTGGGGGTAAGAGACATCGAAGCAGCCGGGAAGAGCCGGATGCATTTGAGGGCTAACCGGGGAGCCTCTCAGTGTCTTCGCGCATCGCACTCCGCTCTCGAAACGCCGGCGGAGTTCCTTCACTTAGAAGAAGAGGAACTGGTGTCGTCGGGGGGGAGGGCGGAGAAAACCTCACTTTTTGCTTTTATGCGAACTTTGCATAGTAGAAGTTTATATGGTCTTGGATCAAAGGAAGTGCCGCCAGACTGAGAACATTGCGCTTTCTAGTATAGCTATTGTGGAAATTTGGTGGGAAGGGATGCAACTAATGATTTAGGGGACACCTTAAGATCTGCCCCTTTTTGTGTGTCTAGCGGTCTGTCTGCCCTTGCTCTGCTGCCTTGCATTTCCGGCTGCTGGAGGCAGGGTCAGCGTGGCCCAGGCCCAGCTGGCTCCGCACATGGCAGCAGCCCCCAAGAAGCCAGCATCCTGGTCTAAGGTGCAGGCTTTGCCCCTGTTGCTTCTCAGCTCCTTCTTCCTGCCAAATTCCAGACTGCTTGCTGAAAGGGAGAGAAGACCCAATTTAGGTGTGCCACCTTCCTCACTAGTGCTTTCACTTTATCACCGTGGTCACCTGTGGCCGCAGCCTCTGTTCCAGGGTGGAATAGCATGCGTCGTAGATACCAGTCTTTCCTGAATAGATTATGAGTTCTTGTCTTTAATCAGGTGTTTTTCCTTAGTCTTTTGCTAACCTTTTCTACTGGTTTACTCCTATCAAAATAAAGTTTCAACCTTTAAATCCTTAAATTTTTTTAAGCGAAATGCAACGTGATTATAAAGAATTACAAGAAGCAGTAGAGCATAATGAAAAGGACCAGGTTTAGGTCTTGGCTATAGTCCTCCCTTGCTGAGATTTTCGTGGGTGAAAGATGGGTGTACACGAAGGGCCACCCAGGCTCCTGGACAGAGTCATATAGACAGCATGAAGCAGTGTGCGTGCAGACAGCCCACAGAGCGCCCCCCGGGCTCCTTATCACGTGCACCTCCCACACCAGGCCTGCTCTTGTTTCAGAACCAGGCTACTGCCCTGTGAGACTGGGAATGACAACTGGAAGGCTTCAGTCTGGAGTGAATACTTTGCAGGGGTTCAAGGAAGACAAAAGGAACAAAGTCACTCCAGGTAAGGCTTCATGTTTCTCTCCTCGCTCAAGCATTTGGCGGGGAGAAAAGCATAATTACCATTTCTTTAACTCTCTTGGTGCTAGTTTTGCAACATGAATCAGCTGTTTTATTAACTTGGGAAGAAACTGAAAAATCAGCTATTAGTATTCAAAATGAGTTTTGTGCTTTCTTTCCTCTGTCTCTCCTTTGTGGGGAAAAAGTCACTTGAGTTGTGACTTCCCAAGGATCCGGGAGGGAAAATAGCTACCTTGGATTTGTTATACCAGTCAGTGAGGTAATAAAATTAGAAGGGAATGATCTTTAATAAAACAGAAATTAGATTGACACGCAAGTGAAAGAACAGTACTGTAGTATTTGATTTCTGTCCACAGTGTTATACTTGAACTACGGACCCTACAGTTCTTACGCTCCGCATTATGACTCCACATTTGCAAATATCAGCAAGGACGATTCGGATCTGATCTATTCAGCCTATGGGGAAGACTCTGATCTTCCCAGTGATTTCAGGTGAGTGACCAATTCTTCAGTATCCAGAATGGCACGTTCTTCTGAAACACTGATAGACTCGTGTATATCCAAGGGGTGTGGTCCGAACCGGAGGTGTAACCTGGAGACTCTTAGTCCACATGTAAGTCCTGAGGTGAATAAGGTCACCTTAGGGAGGAAGTGAAGGGCAGGAGCAAGTCCAGGACTGAGCCCTGGAGCCTCCGTCATTGAGAGAGTCTTACTTCTCTTGGAAGGTTTCCCCAGGAGCATTTCATGTCTCTGAGTTCTTGATATTGTTTAGTTCGCTCAAGATGATAAAGGTAAATATATAAATAGGGTGTTGTACCTAGACGGAAAATTTTACACCGTGGCGTGTAAATTAAGGCGTGTCTGACAGAAACAGCTGGCTGGGATAGGAAGATTCAGCTGACGGAGGTGATTTATATGGAAGTGACTTTCCCAACACACTCTCTTTCAGCATCCATGAGTTTTTGGCCACATGCCAGGATTATCCCTATGTGATGGCAGACAGTTTACTGGATGTTTTAACAAAAGGAGGCCATTCTAGAACCCTGCAAGAGTTGGAGATGGTAAGAAGGCTGCTAAAGAAATGGGTACTTTATTATTGGCTCTTAGCATTAGTCACTCGGTGTTATGAAACCATGGGAGTCACCAGGGTGACAGCTGAGCTGCATTCCCCTGAAAAGCCAGGCCAGCCTGGGTGGGGACTGTGGGTGGAGGACAATGAACGGAAACGGGTAAGTCAGCTACCAGGGTCTGTGAGGGCCAGGAGACTGTCATTATCTCCCAATCTTGGGAATGTAGGAATCAGAATGGGGTTGACGACTCAGAAGTCAGCTGGTGCTGTGTACCTTAACAAAAAAGGAAGTCTCGCTCACTGGCTTGGAACTGAATTGACTAAAATGATAGAGAATGTTCTTTTCTTTATTACTCAGTAACAACACAGTGGTGGGGCCACAAGGAAAAAAGAAGCTTCCGCTTTGCTCTGTCATTAACACTTGTAACCTGTCTCCAGTCCAGTCGGACATAGTTCATCATCTGGAATAATTCACACCCTCGGCTCCAAGATTAGAACCAGAAAATGTTCCTCCTGATAAGTAGAAGAGAGTCGAGCTCCAGAATGTCCTTGTCACCACAGTTAGAAGAACTCTGTGTCTCTGGGGGTCCTAGCTCTTCCTGAGGGCTGTGGCTGCTGCCACCTTGTCCTCTGCCGCACGTGGCTGCCAGTCCCTGGGGTGACTCTCAGCAGTGCTGAGTCAGCACCTCACGTTCAGTGAGAATTGCTGTACATGCAGGCTTCGCGCAGGAACGGCTTTCCTCACGTGACCTAAAAAACATGCCACTTCTCATCTGTTCAGAAATATTTTTCCTCTGACCCTCCCAACAATCTGAATTAATAGTTTTGAGCAAAAATTGAATAGCTTTCATTTGGTTGGTAGGGCAGTAGATTTCAGATCTAAAGTTTCTCTGTCCACTGATCCAGCAGTTCTCAGACTGTATCTTAGAAAATTAAAAAAAAGTTACATGTAAGGATACATTGTTTATAATATAAAAAAATTGGGAATTGGTTAAAAAATCATAATACAACCTTTCAAAAAAAATCACATCATTATTGATTTTCGGGCACAATACATTTGCCTGTTGTTCAGGTATGCGTGATCTCTGACGGCTAGGATTATGGGAAGCTTTCACATTCTCCATAGCATTTGAATATTTTACGGTAATCCTCTGCTATCCGAGAATATTGCTCTCTTAATGCAAATTAGTCCCTAGAGTGCCTCCTATTTTCTCCTTGCCATAGATTTACCTGTCGTTGAAAACCGACTCCATTTAGTAGGCACTTCTCTGCTATTTACCAGGTACCTTCATATATATATATGTATAGCTTTTTGCTCAGACACAGATCATTCTTGAAGTTACCAGTAATAGGTACTCTTGACTCACAAATACTCTCAAAATGCCACTTATGGGGGCGCCTGGGTGGCTCAGTCATTAAGCGTCTGCCTTCGGCTCAGGTCATGATCCCAGGGTCCTGGGATCGAGCCCTGCATCAGGCTCCCTGCTCGGCGGGAAGCCTGCTTCTCTCTCTCCCACTCCCCCTGCTTGTGTTCCTGCTCTGTTTCTCTCGCGCTGTCAAATGAATAAAATCTTAAAAAAAAAAAAAAAAAAAATGTAACTTATTATATCTAACTTGTTTTAGGTTTAAAAAAATTCCAGTAATCCATATTCTTATTCCTTGCCTTGAAGCTCTTAATATTTTTTTTTATTTTCCTTGATATTTACATCTTTTAATGTATCTTTTAATAAAAAGCTGCTTGTCTTTATACTTCTAGCCATCACCCGAAGATGAAGGCCAGACTAGGACCCTTGACCCAGCAAAAGAAATGGAGGTGATTATATTTTATTCTTCATAAAAAATATTTAAATGGAGGATAAGCTAAAAGGCCTAAGTGATAAAACTTTGTTTTAAAAGAGCATTATTTATTGCGTATCTCCGTAAATTAAAGCACTCTCTGCAGGGGGGGGTGGCGGGGCAGCAGCTAGGGCAGCACACAAGCATGGGAGCCTGGGGGCCAGCCCCGGGGACCGCACGGCGTAAATGCTGCACATGTTGCAGGAGTGCGGGTTGCAGAGGCCAGCTGCTCTGCATGGCCGAGGCGGCCCTCACAGAGTGCGTGCTGGGCCAGCTGGGCCTGGAAAGGTGAAGAGACATTCTCCCAGCAGGCGGTGGGAAGGGGGCCGAAACTGCATGTATAGTGACAGAAGCGGACGTGGGCGGGAGGGGCCCGTGTGCAGAGAGCGCAGTCGGCGTGTGAGCACGGGGTGCCTGGGCAGAGGAGGGGAGGTGGGGAGGCCCGCACAGGTGAGGCCCTGACGACAGAGGGGCTACAGGCAGTGCCGAGAAGCTGAGATTTTACCCCAGAAGACAGGAAGCTCTGAGGAAACGTGGAGGGGAGAGGGGCTGGAGGAGGGGACCCAAAGAGCTCTGGGGCTTGTCTGAGCAAAACACTGACGAGCATGGCAACACAGTAAAGACAAGTACAGTAGAAGTCAGGTCCACAGGACCTGGTGCGTGAGGTACCTCATGGCATCGTGAGCTCCCATCAAAGTGTGGGGAAAGGAGCTCCCCTCCAGCAGGGAGAGAAGCTGTACTCGACGTCCCACACAGGGGTGATTGGGGACGTTGTTGGGGCGGCGGGGGATTCCCAGATCTGGGTTGCAGGTGTGCAGGTCTGGAAGTTGTTGGTGGAAAGGGAGAGTTTCACTATAGTCATTCAAGTGAACGAGATTGTCCAGAGAGAACACTGGGTAAAGGCTGAAGGACAGAACCTTGGAGAAGCCCAGTAGGTGAGGTAGAAGAACCACGAAAAGAACGACCTGCAAGAAGGAGCCCAGCGAGAGGAGAGTGGAGGCTATCATTTGTAACCATCAGAGCAGGGTCAGCAAAATGATGGGGACAGAGGTAGGTGGCAGAGAGCTAAATGAGTGGAGGAAGCAGGGACGTGAGGGCAGATGGATGTGAGCCCAGTAACTGAGGGGAAGGAGAACTTGAAGATGAGGTCAAGGAAGGATAGATGTAGGTGGGAATGGTACCCACAGAACCATGTTTGCAAGGAATGAGGTTCCAGCAAGGTCGTGTGCTTAGTGAGGGGGCAGGAACGCAAGAAATCTTGAGAATGGGAAAGGAGGCTGGGTAAAAAGTAGGGTGGTGGGGGTCCCGCAGATGGCAAGCCGTAAGTATATACCGAGAGTTTCTCCCCACACACTCTTAGCCATAAGTAGGTAGAGAGATCGGGGGTTCACATAAATATCTGGAATGCAATGCCCAGCGTCTAAATGGAACCATTAATTTCTGGTGGCTTGTTATCTGGGCTCATCTCTTCCTCAAAAGCAGCGTTGAGGTTATGGAAACTCTGAGTCTCGTCATTCCAAAAATACAACTCCACCCATTTTAGGATTTTGTTTCTCCCATGTAATACTGACAGCCTGGCTTTGGGGCCGGGAGGTGACCCAGGAAGTATCTCATGCTCGAGCTCTACTGTGGGAGTGCAAGCATCCGCACTGGGGGCCAAAGTATGGCCTGTGAGCCTTGGAAACAGGAGGCATCGTCCCAGTCAACCAGAAGCTCTTCGTGGCGTAGGCAGTACCAAGGCTCTCGTTCCTTTCATCTTTAGAGTGGCTGCCAGATGGAACAAAGGATGGGTGTTTTGTAAGACACATTATTTCAGGAACGGAAAGTATGTGTTTGTGGATGGTGTTTGGCCCGGACTGGGGAATGGCACTTTGCAAGTATTCTGGGAAGACGGTTTTGTAGGTATCAAAATTGTAACTCCAAAGTAAATAGGTGGAATAACTTGGCCTGTAAACACAAACCATCTTAATGATTTCTCATTCTAGCAAACCCAAATAATTCCTTTTTTTTTTTTTAAAGCAGATTACCGAAATAGAGCCAGCAGGGCGTTTAGATTCCAGTAATCAGGACCGGCTCACAGCACTGAAAGCAGTAACAAATTTTGGTGCTCCTGTTGAAGTTTTTGACTCTGAAGGTGTGTCACTTCATGACCCGGGCAGTCACGATTTAATGTCACATTAGTCCAGATTGACATAGCCGTTCACCACAGGAAGATCTTGGCTGGCCGTGCTTCTGTGAAGAGTGAAGCATGTTTCTGGTATTAATTTCATTGAGGAGAGAAGACTAGCCAATAAGTAGCAAAACCCCAGAGCATAGGACTCCCTTTACTGCACAAGATCAAACACAAGTGTGTTCGTGTTTTCTTTAGTGTGTTTTTCTTTTTTTTTTTTTTTAAAGATTTTATTTATTTATTAGTGTGTTTTTCTTCGTACCACACAGAAGCTGAAATGTTCCAGAGGAAACTTGATGAGACCACCAGATTGCTCCGAGAGCTCCAGGAAGCCCAGAACGAGCGTCTGAGCACCAGACCCCCTCCCAACATGATCTGTCTCTTGGGTCCCTCTTACAGGGAAATGCATCTTGGTATGTTACGCCTCCGGTAAGAGGAGAACCGGGGGATACTTAAAGGGAGAACCTTCTGAGAAGTGATACCACTGTCAGCAGAGCTGAAGTGAACCATGGATGGTTTCTTTTTTGAACAATGTGGGGGTTGGGGGTACCAACTGACCTCCCTCCTCCCCCGTCCCTCGCAGTTGAAAATCCACGTGTAATTTTTGACTCCCCTCAAACTTTACTGTAATAGCCTTCTGTTGACTGGAAGCCTTACCTACAGTCAACTAAGACATATTTTGTACGTCACATGTATTCCATACTGTTTCTTACAGTAAAGCTAAAGAAAAGAAAATGTTAAAGATGAAGAGAATAGGTTTACAGTCCTGTATTTATCCACAAAAAAAAAAAAAAAAAATCTATATATCTGTGGACCAGCACAGCTCCAACCCCTGGTGTTCCAGGGTCAACTTCCTATTGGTCTTTTGATTTTTGTTTATTATCATGTAAAGGAACCACGTTTTAACCTAGAACTGTTTTTCTTTTCTTCTCTCTAGCTGAACAGGTAACCAACAATCTGAAAGAACTTGCGCAGCAAGTCACTCCGGGCGACATTGTCAGCACGTATGGAGTTCGAAAAGCAATGGGGATTTCCATCCCCTCCCCCATCATGGAAAACAACTTTGTAGATTTAACGGAAGGTATGTGCCCTGTGTGTCTGGGAGGATGGAGGACTGTTGTGAGTAAAAGGAACATCAGTCCTCTCCCCTCGAGTAATATTGGAAAGATTTTTGTCTCTGCATGTTGATGCTGTATAAACTTTTTATTAATTCTTTAGACAAGACGTAAAGGAAATAAAGATTTGACACATTTGCAAAAAAAACCCTACAATGATACCCTGGTAGTAAATCTAGTCTTTAACCTTGGTAAAGAAGGGCTGTCAGCACTTATTCTTCTGGATGATACCTTTACTTTTTAATTAAAAGGGAAAAAGTGCTGAATGAGGCCGTAACTTTTCCTTTCAGATTTTGAAGAACCGAAAAAGACTGATGTTGCCGAGTGTGGACCCAATGGGATTTGAAGCTCACTGGTATTTCATTATATATTCTGTACATATTTTTTTCATTCTTAACTTGGAAATGCTTTTCAGAAGATATAAAATATTTGTAAATTGTGTTTTTAATTAAACTTTGGAACAATTAATTTTAATGTTCCAGAGATTGGACTTGTATTAGGTAATAAAGCTGAGCCTGGGACTATGAGCTGTGTTGTGCTGTCAGCTGAGTCGCTCTTGACCTTTCCCCAGGGCTGAGGTGATAGAGAAACACTTAGGAAATAAAACAGCCTTTTCAGGACCCTTCGTTAAAGCAGCAAGGCCCCCAAATAATTGAACTCTCTCATTTTACCACATTTGTCAGAACTCCTCGTTAAAGAAATTAAACCAAAGAGTTCCGACTTACAGATTTCACCTAGATGATTTATTCAAAGAAGGTCTTCGTGAGGAAGGACTAGGACGGACTCTGACCTGTTGCCATCCGGAGTGGGCCTGGGCACAGTGGGTCAGAATGACAGCGCTACTTCCTTAGGGCACACACGGGACCGGAGCTCAGACGCTTCTCTAAAATCCCCATCCAGTGAGATTTTCCATCGTTATACCATGAAAACAAATACTAGTAGATTCTGAAATTACTTTAAGTGTATGTCCCCTGCATACCTGATGGGAATGATGTCCTCCTGTAGAAGGATGAGGTGACGTACCTCCCCATGCCACCCTCTCTCTCCCCCAACCCCCCAACATCACACCAGGAGTTTCATAGTACTAACCTGTCTGGTGGTCCCGTTTGGTTTATTTTTTTCCATTTTTGAGAAGGTCACTTAGGGAATCACAGAGCTTAAAGGAAAGTTTACGTTTCTGTTTACTGTTTCTCCCGGGCCACCTGTGCCTCAGCGTGTCCCCTGAACTGAGAGTCCTCTACTTTTATCTGAAATACAAAGGTCGGCTGCTTGAGCAGATAATGGAGACCAGGAGACATGAGGTTCTCTTCCATAACCAGGCACCACACGGCAGCCTGCTTCAGGGAACTCTGCTTTGTAAGACCCCCCCCCCTTCATCTCCCCCGCCCCCCCGCCAGGTGGAAGCGTTTTTATTTTCCTGACTTTAAAAACGAAGATTTAGCAAGAACAAGTGGGGTGAAGGAAAACTGATTCTCCAAGACGACCCAGTCTTAAAAACCTACTAAAAATCGTATGCCAAAAGAACTTCAAAATTGTTCAGTTATGTATTTTTTTTTTTATAAGATTTTATTTATTTATTCATGAGAGACAGAGAGAGGCAGAGGGAGAAGCAGGCTCCCAAGGAGCAGGAAGCCCGATGCGGGACTCGATCCCAGGACCCTGAGATCATGACCTAAGCCGAAGGCAGACGCTTAACCATCTGAGCCACCCAGGCGCCCCCAGTTACGTATTTTATCAAGTTTTTTTAGAGTTTAATAATTTTAATCTTTCGATTATAATTCAGGCAGTGATTTTCTTAAACAGACCAAGAAAACTGAAATTCAAAACACTTGTTTTTCCAAATTGCTGATTGAATATATGAAAGGCTAAACAAAGTAGAAACACTGGTACTTTATAAAAATGAAGTATAACATTTTGAAACAAATGTTACAGATCTATAAATATTCAGTATACAGAGTCATTCCTAGTTATTCGGATGTACCTTCTCAAAACCTGTTTTTGGACATGACGTATTATATACACCATGTATACAGTGGTTAATGATCTTATTTAATTTTCTTAATGAGTAAACCAGAAAACTTCAGGTGTGACTTTCACTAGAGTCGGGGAGGCCCCCTTCACGCCGGCCGTGACCCCTAGGAAAGGTCAGTGTTAGAAAAGATACTTGTCCTGTCATAAAACAAACAGAATGACACCTGTGAGGAAGGGGCCCGGCCCCTGGAAAACACACTGAGCAAACGTGACTGCAGGTGCCTTTTAGGGTCCGTTCCACACGATAGTCGGCACATCAGAAACTCAAAACTTCCCAAAATGTGCTTATCAGAGCACCGTGCTTGAATTGGAAATAAAAAGAGAGGACTGGATTTCTGTTGCTGGAGGAAAAAAGTAATTTAATATTGCAAGAGTAGAAGTAGGCCCACCTCAGAGAGACCCAGCATGCTTAGGTGTGTCCAGTATCGTATCCGTGACAGAACCTTCCTGACCTCCGAGGAGAGCCCTGCTGAGCGGCCCTGGTCGCTGCCGATTTAAGTGTCCGGGTCGCGGTGTAGTACTCACCCGACACCAGCCCTTTATATGAAAAGTTGGTGCAGAAAAGCAGTTTTTAAGTGAGGTTATCCCTTAACAGCATTTTTGCCATAAAATTCCTTTGTACAGCAAGTTCCTGTAATTCATTCATCTCTCTCCCAGTGACACGCAAGCCTCAGCCGCTAGCGCATCCGGCTCCTCTGGGCAAACGAGATAAGCCCCTTCTCAGGCTGATAAGCCGCAGACATGGCCCGAGCAGACAGCGGGTTCACCTTCAGTCCTCCCTGCCCTTGGCTGCAACCCTGTGTCCGCTTTTGAAGCTTCCCATATGCAAGATTTCCTGTAATGGCTGGGGGTTCCCGGAGGACCCCGAGCTGGGAATCCCTGCTCTGCAGTGAAATGCAGCTGTGTGAGAAACCCCGGGCGCGCACTGCTGATGAGGCAGCAAAGCTGATCCAGAAAAAGGAATGGGCAGTTTGGTTCCTTCTCACCTGGAAACACAACTCAAGCCAACTTCTGAGTCTTTGAAAATTGAAGTGCTGTGAGATGCATCTCGCGGACCTGGCATTTCGCACTTGCCTTGATTCATGCGGTTCAGAGCAAGACCAGCCCAGCATTTCCGAGCGGGCTGGCTTCCCACATACGGGAACCTCTTTGCACGCTCATGTGGAGCAGAAGCTTTTCGTTTTGAAGCTCTTCAAGTTAGGTGTGAGGACTAAAGAAAAGAAAAGAAGTGCTACAGGTTGCCTGCGTCCTGTCTGCACAGATTCCATTCCTTTCCACCACAGAAGCGAAGATTTAGCGGAAGACTGCAGGGGAGAGCCCCACACACGGGGGAGCAGTCGGGGAGGGGGTAGGAGGTGGTGCCTCATTTCCTGGGCCACGCCACCGCCTGCCTTCTTGCCGTGAGCCACACTCCAGGCCCAACCCCCGGACACTGGACGGTAGGTTCTCCTTCCGTGTCAGTGGTTAAAAAGACAGTACGCTGGAGGGAAGAGACTTTGTCTAGCATCTAAGAACTCATTAAAAAGGATAAAACCTCCACCAATAGTATAGCCATTTAAAACAGACACGCCAGAGATGACAAGAGGTAGCAGGTGCCCGCTGTGGTTTTTCCTCCCTGCTGCATGAAACCACAGATTGAAAACAGCCTTATCAGCTCTATTTACCGAAATGCCTGTGTGAGCAATGCAGAATCCTGTGGCTGATCCGCTGGGGCAGAAAGGAGTACCCAGCCCGTCCTGGACAACTTGTCCTAGTTCTGTACCTAGAAAAGACCGGGCCCGCGTGTGCAGCTCGCAGGCCAGGCAGGGTATGTATGGCTCATGCTCCGAGATCGCCACAGCCCCGAGGGGACTGAGCATCCGAACCTCGTGAGTGAGCCTGTCCACGCTGTCTAGAAGCTGTGGTGCAGACTCGGACGGCACAGAGGTCCTGGCTGCCTGTGGGTGGCAAGGCTCCGTGGTTGCCTCAGGTGAGGGTCTGATGCATGTTCCCAGGAATCCTCTAGCACAAATCCGAGGAAGCTCCACATAGCCAAACCCTTGGAATGCCTTTGTGACTGGCGTGTGGCTGAGTGCTCCCCTTGGCTTGCCTCAGGGAAGGAAATCCGCTGCCAGCATGTTCTGCACCTACCAGAAGCCCTCAGTTGAGTCCCAATCCTTGGAACTTGGCAGTGTCTGTACAGACAAAGTAAGTCCTCAGTTCGCCTTTGCCTTTGACGTTGATCAGTCCCCGGCACTCGCAAGAATAACCTAGTCCCTGGAGGATGGTGCATGTTTCTTCAGTAACCTGAAAAGAAAAGGCCAACAGTCTTGGGAAGCAGGAAGAATACCTGCTGTGGGGGGTCAGGCAGAAACCAGCCCCAAGCAGCACACAGGTCTGGTGTCCCTCAAGCACATCAGGGCTGGAGTCACATTGCTGACCGATGCCCGGGTCCCTGCGCCTCTGGGAAGTTCCTCCCCCTGTGGTCATAGGTTCCCCAGCTGGGTTGTACCTGGATCTTGCCAAGTTCTCCAGTGCTCTCCATCCGGCTGGCAACGTTGACCGTGTTTCCCCAGATGTCATACTGAGGCTTTCGTGCCCCAATCACTCCAGCAATCACGGGCCCGTGGTTTATGCCTGGAGGGAACATTTGCGGTTGGGTCAGGGAGGCCAAGCCTCAGGCTCTGCCCTTAGCAGCAGCCACAGAAAACACCGACCAACAGCTGAAATGGCTAGAGGGGGCTTCCCAAGCCCGTGACAGGAGTGCTCATTTGGGGTGCGCGAGAGGCACCCCTGGGCAGCCCTCTTCCGGCTGCTTGCTCCAGAAGTTGGGCTGCGGTTAGCACTTTTCTAGTATCTGCTCATCTCCCAACCAAGAACAAACAGGCTGTGAGCACCAGCCCTGCAGCTAACACGGGGTAGTTAGGTCAGTAACTTGGCTTTGTTCTCAGGATGTTGTAAGGTTTACAGAAGGTGATTTGGGGGTTCTCCATTTTCTGTAGGGTTCTGTTCCTATCTACTCACAACTTCCAAAGCTAACTTTATAAACAGAATGCCAAGGAAGAGTAATTGCCCTGTCGCCAGCGTTGCAAGGCCGAGAGGGTGTTCTCAAGGCTTTCCCGCTAGACAGTGAAGTGCACCATCAGGCTTGAGCATGCGCTTGCCAGGAGGCACGGGCCCAGCCACCCTCCCCGAGCCTGGCCCCGCTCTCTGGGCCCTCACCAACTCGGAGGCGGAAGGAGTTGAAAGAATGCCGGTTGATGCCGTCCAGCTTGCTCATCAGGGCGATGCTGAAGTCCACCATGATGCCGATGTGCGCATGCTGCCGCTCCAGGTCCTGCGGGACAGAGCGCTGCGCACGGGGGCCGCGGGTCCCCTGCCCCGACTTCCCGCCTGCACTGGGTGTCAGGCGGCCAGGAGGCTGGGCCGCGAGGTCCTCTGCCCCTCCCTCATAGGACGGGCCTGGGACCTGCTGAATCCCCCTAGTGGGGGACTGGGACGTGAGGCCACCAGCTCAGCTCAGTACCTGGTTCTCAGTCCCTGAGGGGCTGCTGAGCCCTGCGGCTGCCATGTATGTGCTGCCGATGGTCTTGATCTTCTCCACGCTGCTGAACTTGGGCTTTAGAAGCAGCTGCGGGACAAAGGGACACCCCGAGCTCTGAGAAGGGGTGGGGTCCCTCCCGCCACTGCTCCTAATGCCGACATTTCTCACGTTCGGCCTTCCCTTGTGAGTGGACAGCCGAGTCCACGCAGGGACGAGGCCTCTGGTTCTGTCCCTGCTGCCGGTCCTCCCGTTTGCGTCAGGACTCTCGTTCTTAAGGAGCAAGCACAGCCCAACAGGATCTACCCAGGAATGTCGAATGTTTGCAGCTAAGAACGAAATCCAAGGAGCGCGTGGGTGGCTCAGTCAGTTAAGCATCTGACCCGTGGTTTCAGCTCAGGTCATGATCTCAGGGTCCTGGGATCGAGCCCCACATCGGGCTCCGTGCTGAGCGTAGAGCCTGCTTAAGATTCTCTCTCCCTCTCCCTGTGCCCCTGCCCCCTGCTTGTGTGCTGTAAGTAAATCCTTAAAAAAAAAATTAAGGGATGCCTGGGTGGCTCAGTCGTTGGCCTTCGGCTCAGGTCCCGATCCCAGGGATCGAGCCCCACATCGGGCTCCCTGAGCAGGAAGCCTGCTTCTCCCTCTCCCACTCCCCCTGCTTGTGTTCCCTCTTTTGCTGTCTCTATCAAATAAATAAAATCTTAAAAAAAAAAAAATGAAGTCCAAACCGATGGACTTCTCTGGAAGAGTTGGCAGCGTGGGCCTGGCTGGGAATCAAACTACAGCACTCCCTTACCCACTCCCAGACCCCAGTGGCTGCCTGGCACCGCAGGGTCCCGAGCCCTCCACAGCGTGTGCTCTCTCGCCCACGAACTCGCCTGTGATGAGGTTTAGTTAGAAATCAGGCACGGTGAAAGGTTACAACAGAACCATGCGCCCTGATAAAAATTACGTGAAGGGTCCCTCTCTCAAAAACTCTTCCTGTACGGGGCGCCTGAGTGGCTCGGTCGGTTAAGCGGCTGCCTTCAGCTCGGGTCATGATCCCGGGGTCCTGGGATCGAGCCCCGCATCGGGCTCCCTGCTTGGCGGAGAGCCTGCTTCTCCTTCTCCCTCTGTCTGCCACTCTGCCTACTTGTGCTCTCTATCTCTGTTAAATAAATAAATAAATAAAAATCTTTAAAAAAAACTCTTCCTGTACTGCGTTCGTTCCTCCTCCTTCTCCTGGTGATGAGGTGAAGCGAGGCACATGACGGGGACGCTGTGACACGGCGTTCGGCCACTACCAACCTCCTGGCCATGTGTCGGGAAGGGGGGTCATCTGCTCACGCGGCCAGCAAACCACAGGTAAGGGCACCACTGCCTTCTTCAAGGACCCTCATCTGACCTGAGCTGGCTGCCCCTCGCAGAGAAGGTAACAAAGCACTTACTGAGAGAAACACAGAGAAAGGCGCATGCGTCCCTCTCCCGATCTGGGGGGCCCGCACCCTGCCCGAACCTCGTCGAAGTCGGCAATGATCTCGTTCAGCAGGCGCAGACACTCCAGCCCCTCCTTGTTGACGTCGCACTCCGTGTAGAAGACTTTGAAGTCCGGCACGGACGCGAACATGACACACACGCAGTCGTAGGACTGATGGTACCAGTCCTGGATGGGGGCGGGCAGAAGACGACCTTGTGCCAGCAGGCCGTGCCGGGGGACAAGCAAGCACAGGGACGTGGCCCCTCGGCCGTCCCACAAAACTTTCAGGGGCCGGGGGCGCAACGCGAGTGTCGCTCGGCCTGCCTTACGCCTGAGACTCTCATCTGAGTGCACTGGTTGGGGCGGGCTCAGGGTGGTTCTGACTCGGCGCTACCCTGGGTCCCGGGGCTGACGCTGAGAGCCCTGCGGGGTGGGCCAAGGTCACAGTCAGGGGACCTGGGTCCTCTTCCGTAAAATGCTGCGGCACGGAACCCGTGAACCACGCACATTCTCATCCGCACGGACCGTCCGGACCACAGAGGCCTGGACATGCAGCTGGTGCCCAAACCACCCGCCCGCGGGCGGCCCCGCGGCCCCCAGAAGTGCGGGCCCCAGGTACCCTCTGTCTCTCCCTACCCGGGGCCACCCAGCGCCCGCCGGCACCACACCTCATTTAACTTGTCACCAATGAAGTGAGCGGCCACGTGGGCTGGCAAGACATTCTCCAGAAGAAGGCGGTTCACATTCTCCATGGTTTCAAACTCCTCGTGTTCCTTCTTGAACTTCTTCTTCCACAAACAGTCCAAGCGGCAGTAGTAGTCAATCTGCGGACAAAAGGCAACATCGGTGTCCTGGCCGCCGTGAGCAGGGACACGAGGACACACGTGTCGCCCCGGGGCCTGCTGAGCCAGCCCCTCAGTGCTTCCACCCTGTGTCCCCGGCTAATGTCCCCAGCTCAACGGCCACCTCCCCGTGGCCTCAGAATGCCAGTGAGCCGGGACTCGGTTCTCCAAGTGACCCACGTGACCAAATGTCACTGGTGTCCTGAGGGGAGGGGATGTGGGGAGGTGAGGACCCGGGGACCAGGGTTTCCGTACTGGGCTCTGTCTCCCATGCAGCCCCAAATCTGCAGATGCCCCGGCCCGGTTGTGTCCCGCCCCCCCCCAACCCCACCCCCGCCGCTGAGCACGGGGCCCTACCTGTCTGGAGAGCATGAGGAGGGTGACGTAGAACAGAACCAGGTAGAAATTGGTCATCGCCTTCGCGTCCTTCCACACACAGAACGGGGAGCTGCGGGACACGAAGGGGAAAGGCCAGAGTCGATTGTGCCCGGCCCTCCGACGCGAGCCCGGGACAGACGGCTGCCCTCAGCTCACATCCTCAGGGCACAGACACGAAACAAGCGACTTCGGGGTGACAAGAGAAGATGGTCTGACTGGGAGGTGGGGGAGGCCTCACTGAAGTGACGTCTGAAGGAAAAGCACTCCAGGCAGGTGAGGGGACAGCCAAGCACTCCTCCAAGTCAGGGACTGCAGCTGTCAGCAAACCCAGGGGAGCAGATTTTGTTCTGGGCCCCCAAATTTAAGGGGAGCCAGGTCCCTCTCCTCAACCCACCTGGGGCCGAGAGCCCCCAGAAGCACACACACACCATCCCTTCCCACGCCACAGGGCTCAGCCACCAGTCCAGGGACAGACCGGAGACCACTGTTGTTTCCAGAACTCTGGAGATCCGGGACACGGCTCAAGGAGGGGGACCAGGCTAGAGCCGAAGCCTCCCCCCCCCGCACCCCAAGAATGGCGTAGAGACAGGAGGATCCAGGAAGCCTCCGGGGGTCTCGGGATGTCCCCCAGAGAACCTGCAGATGAGTGACACTCCAGCTCTGAGTGTACGGACCTGGGACCATCACGTCCCCTCCTGTAAAATGGAGACCGTGCCACCTGCCGGCCCAGCCCCCAGGTGTCCAGGCCAATGGCACTGTGAAGGCCAGCACAGCAGGGTTCAACGTGACACCCCACGGACCACACTCGAGACGGGCAGGGGGACAGGGTGCTTCGGGCCCCACCTGAGGGTCCCGTTGGTCTCGGTGAGGTTGTCCACAACGTGGCCACAGCAGTCCGACTGCCAGCACGGGGAGATGTTGAAGAGCACCAGGTAGGCCACCAAGGCCACGGTCAAGAGCACGACCTTCAGCTCCAGGCTCATCCGCAGGAAGACCGAGCAAGCGACAAAGGCGAGGATGCAGCTACAGGTGTAATACTGGGGTGATGGGGGGTGTCGCTCACCATGAGGCAGCTCCTGGACCCAGGTCACCAGGACGGGGCCCCTTTCCGGCGCGGGCGGCGGGGGGGGCGTGAAGGGCCAGCGCATCTGCAACACTGCTCTCAGCCTTGATGACCTCCCTTCTTAGCAAAGAGCAGACCACACAGTCTAGAACTTTCGAGCATCGCGTTGTTTTTACTCTATTTTTACTTCTACTTATGGCAGGTGAACTCACTGAAGGGAGGGGAAAAAGGTAACTACAACTGCAGTGGCCTGTGGATGTGACAAAGGTGAGAGCAGCAGTACGCACACCCCTGAACAGCCTCCCCGCCTCCAGTTCTGCCCCGAGCTTGCCCTTCCGAAAGGACATCGCTGCCCGTGTTCCTCTCCTGCTCAAGATCATGCTGTGGCTCCCCACTGCCCCCCAAAGAGAGACCAAGCTCTCTCTCCTGGCACTCAGGCTCCGTCCCCACCCCCGATCTGGATCAAACCTACCTCCGGCTCCGTGTCTCAGCTGTCCCCGCGCCTCCCCACGACACCACCGCCTGAAGCCCTGCGGGCTCCCATTGCGTGCCTCAGCTTTTCTCCCTGTCCCAGAACCTTTCTGTCCTTCAGAGACCAGCTCAAAATTCACCACGGCCCGCGGAAGTCCCCCACCCTCCGCTGCTGCGCATCGGGGCTCCCCAGACCTGGCTTCTGCTGTCGGCCTGCCTGAGGCCAGTCATGGCTCCACCACCCATGAGGCCAACCAGTCAACCTCTCGGGGCCCCTCCTCGCGCCTTGGATGAAGCAGCCCCGGCCCCGAAGGCCCTGTGTCCTCCGGGATCAGAGGCCACCTCGGCCCCGGCTGGGCCTTGCTCTCTCCATCTCCTGGGAGGGGCTGGACTCCGCTCCCCCGCACCCCATGGCCTCCTGCACTCAGGCGGGGCACTGCGCAGGAGCAGGGCCCAGCGGGGGCACGCGGGGCCCAGCAGTCTGGGCCAGGGCCCGGCTGCACTCACCGGGAGGAGCCCGCACATGTTGCTCCCAGGCCTCGGGCTCGTCTGGTTGCCCGCAGGCAGCCCCGGGGCCGAGAAAGGCATCAGCGGCTGCAGAGAAGACAGGTCACCGTGAGGGGTGGCCCAGGGACCTGGGACTCTAGGACCTGCCAGGCCCAGCTCCAGGCACGCCCAGAGCCGTGGTGCCCCGACTCCCGGCCACAGGCATCTGCTTCCCGGAGGGGAGAGGTCCGGGGAGGAGGAGGGTGTAAAATGAAGCCCCATGTGCACCATCACCAAAGCATCAGAGGCTGATTCGGGGCTGGGGGAAGCAGGGGAGAAGCTGGGATCAGCGTAGTCAGTGAGCCCCCTTCTCCCCAGGAGACCCTGAGTGTGGTGGTCACAGGGTCTCAGGGACACGGAGAGCCCCTGGCTCCAGAGGTCAGAGCTGGGAGGACCAGCAGGGACACGTGCTGTCCGCAGCACTGAGCACGTGAGCGAGGCCTGAGAATCAGGAGCTCAAGTGTCCTCCCCAGCCTGTGCCCAGGGCCACTCGCCCTAGCGAGGAAACGGAGTCTCAGAGTAAGCCAGGGCCTCCCCAGGTAGAAGGATGATGATGAAGAAGGTAGAAGATGCCAAGAACACTGGTGGTTCAAGACATCCTGTCCTTGTGGGGCTGGCCACGTAAGCTCTCTGGGGGCCCCAGGTCCTCGTGTGAAAAGTGAAGGGGAAGGAGCCCAGGCCCATCTCAGGGGCCTCGCGGAGCCCGCCCACAGGGCCCTGCAGAGAGCTATGCCAGATGCAGCTCTCGGGCAGGACACTGTGGGATTCGAGAACCTGAAGGTGCCCAGGGTCTAGGACTGGCTCCCCCCGTCCCCCCAGGAAGCACGCACAGGCAGGAGGGCTCCTCGCCAGGGCCCGCCATCCCCACCCGCCCCCCAGAACCCACCAGGTTGACGATGGCGATGCTGAGCAGGCTGCCAATAGTCAGGACGGCCAGGGACAGGCGCAGCAGGGGCTGGGTCTCCACGCTCTCGGAGATGGCCTGCAACATCCCCCAGGCCGGGCAGCACTTCTGTGGAGGCACGGGGTCAGGGGGCCGGCGCCAGCACCGGGACAAGGACCCCTCGGCCCAAGGGCCCAGTGGACGCGAGGGCTCCCGAGAGCTCCGCTAGAGCTCAGGCCCAGAGCTCAGGACGCACGGGTGCACAGACAGAGGGGACGCTCCCACCCTCAGGGCCGGGGACAGCCGCAGCCGCTTGGGGGCCCCCGGCAGCCCGGGAGGGTGGCATTACTGGGAGAAGTGCTCTGCAAACTGTCGCCCGGGCAGGAGGGGCGCGGAGGGCCGGCGGCGCAGGGCCAGGTGCCCGGTCAAGGGCTGCCACTCACCAAGAACTCGTGGGCAAAGCACAGGCCCAACACCAGCGCCAGCACGCAGGCCACCAGCCCAAAGGACACACCCAGAGCCGCCATCCTGGAGAGCAGAAAACCCTAGGTCTGGGGGACCGTCGGCCCAGGGCCAAGCCACAGGCATGCTCCCCAACCCCCAGCACCCCAATTCTCAGGCTCCCAGCCGCCTCCTGCCCCCCCAAACTGCCATATGCACTCAGCAAAGGGGATCTCTGAGCACCATGGTCCAGCTGCCCCACTCATGCACGAGGCCGGGGCCACGTATCTAAGAAACGGGTGGGCGCGCAGCCTTCAGACCCACGGCCGCCCCGGAAGTACCAGACGGAAGGGCTTCTGCCTAGTTTGTCTTTAGGAAGCACATCCTAAACCCCAATCCTAGTGGATCCTCTGGCCTCACCCCGCTTCCAGAAACCACCACGTAGCTGACCTCACTCCTTCCCTGTGACCTCCCCCCGCCCCGCCGTCCCCCGCCAACAGGGTCCTCGCACCCGGATAGGGCATGAAGCCCTCTGAGCCTCAGTTTCCCACATCTAAGAGGGAGCTGGAGGTGGCTACGGTTCTGGGAGTCTGCCTTCTGGGACAGCGGTCGCCTCAGGCCACACGCCCACAGGGCCGCACAGGTCTCAGGGGACTGGGAAGGCCTGCGCCTTGACAGGATGAGCACGTTCGATGGAAACAAAAGTAAGCACTGGTGAGCCCAGGTGTGGGCCACAGCCCCTGGTCCAGTCTCTGGGACTCCAGGCCCCTCCTGCTGGTCGGGCAGTGCACGCAGCTTTTCTGGGGGCGCTTCCAGGCCCCGGGCCCGCGCATCCCGCCCACCCCGACTGACCTGGGCATGAGCAGGGCCTGGACCAGCAGGATGCAGACGAAGACGAGGCTGGCACAGGCGAAGTAGTGCCGCGCCCGGGGGATGGGCGCCAGGCGGTACTGGGGGCGACGGGGACAGTCAGGGTCGCTTGTTCCGCCCCTTCCGGGCCCACCCCGGCTCAAGTTAATCAAAACTCACACCCACACCCTGGGGGCGCCTGGGTGGCTCAGTCGGCTAAGCGTTGGACTCAGGTCATGATCTCAGGGTCCCACTCAGCGGGGAGCCCGCTTCTCCCTCCCCCTCTGCCCCTCCCCCCCTTGTGCCTGTGTGCTCTCTCTCTCTCTCTCTCTCTCTAAAACAAATAAATACATCTTTAAAACAAACCTCACATACTCCTTGAGTTCCAGGTGATGATGGGACATCATCATGACCAAATGACCTTCCTTCTGTTCCCTGACGTTTAGAGCTGATCCCTTCCCCTCCCCCACCCCACCCAGGTCTCTGACTCTATTTCCCAGGTCCCTGAGAAGCCTGTGGCCCCAAGCTTGGGGACGGGAACCAAGTCTGAGCTCTGGGGCTGGCGGTGGGTCTGTCCTCCCCCCACACCCAGGAGTAAGGCCGGGCCTGAGCCCCTAGCTAGTGGGCAGGGGGACCCCGTGCCGCTCACACCCCTCCACCAGGCACAATCTCATGATCTCGGGCCACAGGGGCTCCTGCTGCACGTGAGCAAACCGGGGCTCAGAGAGTCCGGCAGCCTGCCCAGGGTCACACAGCTGCTGGCAGGCCTGCCAGGCAGGTTTCCCTCAGACCCCAAGCTCCTCACCGAGGGAGCCCCGACTCAGGAAGCCCCAGCCAGAGAAAGACCCCACCACCACCAGCAATCTTGAGGCTGAGAGGGGAAAGAAGCCCCAGCACCAGAGCCCCGTGGCCTGGGGCCACCCTCACGGGCCACACCAGAAGCCAGAAGCCTGTGAAATGGGTAACAACGGCCACCTTGTCCGGCCGTGTGAGGTTTCAAGGACATACATGTGTGCCGGGGACGTGGACAGAACACAGTAGGCGCTCAGTAAATAAGTAAACAGTTGTAGAACAGCATAAAAGCACGTAGTTGTAGCAGCCAGAAGGGAGAACCAGGCTAAGGCGTGCGCTGGCCCTTACCCACTGAGGTCCTAGCATATGAGGGGAGCAAAGGTCTCCCAAACCCAAGTGGGAGAATCCCTAACAGGGCACAAGTCAGGTACAGGAGTGAGGCCAACAGGAAGAGAGTCCAAGCAAGGCGGGACTGGGCCCCCACCCACCCACCATGGCCCGCCGGGGTGATTCCCACCACCCTCCCTGAACAGACGTCGGAGCGGTGGCTGCCCCACCCCAGGCCTGGAGCCCCCGTTCCTCACCTCTCGCTCGAAGTCCTTCTCCAGGAAGATGGACCCGAGGGTGTAGAAGTCATCGGACTTGGAGCAGCAGGGCCTGAGGGGTGGCAGGCGCAGGCCGTGAGACACAGGGCCTGGGGGAATAGGGGGGCCCGCCCTCGGGAGCGGATGGGGGAGGGGGGTGGGAGGGGATCCCACTCCGGGGAGCAGGGAGATGGGGGGCATAAGTCCACCCTCAGGAGGCAGCACCAGGGAGGCAAAGGAACCACCACAGACGCAGCCCAAGCTGGGCCACCAGGCACGCGGGCACAAGGTGGGCCTGGCTGTATGGGGAACCCCCACCCGAGGGGGGACTGGGCGAACAGAGGCCTCGGGGTCCCACCTCGTGGAGCTCAGCCCCTCGATGGCTGACAGCATCTCCTCGTCGTACGAGTCGTCCTCCGACCGCCCCTTGGGGGACGTGCTCCTGCATCAGGAACCGAAGCGCATCACCCCAGGACCACACCCGCCTGCCCAGAGGCAGGAGTGAACACGAGGCAGCACCGCCGTCTGGGTGCCTAGACGCCTGCAGGAGGCCCCAGAGCCTCGTGCGGGGTGGCCGAGGAACAGGAGGGTCCCACTGAGGCCCAGAGAGGGCAAGTGGAGGCCCGGCATCAAGCAGCAGGCCCAGGTGGCCAGCAGCCCAGCCAGAAGCAGACGACCTCTAAAGGCCAACCTCCAAGGCCTCTTCCCCTCCACCCGCAGGCTTCCCTCACGCCAACCACTAACCCGGCCCCGGGTGGGGACACCACAGGCACTCCATTACTGTGAAGTCCTCATTCCAAGCCACAGCCCCTCCGAGCTGCCCTCCTGGACAGAGGATGGTCAGGGTAGGCTGCCTGGAGGGGGTGGACACTAAGGGGGTGACTGGGGTGGGGCAGGACTTGGTCAGGAAGGCAGGCCACAGTTGACGGAGAGGAGGGGATGGTGCACGTACCTGTCAGGGGTCCGGTGGCGCCGCAGGGGAATGGTCTGGAAAGGAAAGGAGAGGGGACAGTTATTCTGCAATGAGGGGCCCCCGAAGTCTGTCCCTGGACTGGGTCTCTCATCTCCTGCACCCTCGGACACACGGGGCAGGTGCCGAGCAGTCTGGGAGGCAGGGTCCTACCTTGGGCCTCCGCCCGCTGGGGACGGGGGTCTCGCCGCTGCTCACGCTCTCACGGTGGTTGAGGTGAGCAAAGGGCCGCGCGGCCCCCCAGGACTCGAGGTAGCGGGTCATGCGCACGGATGCCCGCATCTTTAGGGCCGCGTCCCCCTTGGGCTTGGGGAGGTGCTGGCTGGGCGGGGGCGGCTGCCGGCTCTGTAGGCAGACACAGACACGGCCTGTCCCTACCCCCCTCAGCCCAGGAAGGGCCCCCGCCCCCATCCCACTCCCCCTGAAATGCCACACTGCCCCGAGTGCTGGCCAGGCTGGGGAAAAAGAGAATAGCAGAAACGCTGCTGGGTCTGCGAGCCCCTCGGGGACCGGCCATGGCCCAGTGCACTCCTTGGCTGGGCTGCACAGGAGGTCCCAGCTCGGGCCCTGTCCTTCCCAGGCAGCCAGGAGATTGGGGATCACACACAACTGTGCGCAGCCCCTCAGACCCTTCTCTGCCTCCCCAGGGAAAGATCGGGCCGAAGTCCTAAGCCCTAAGACCCTGCCAGCCCCGTGACGCTCTGTGGCACCGCTGTCTCCCTTGGGGCCTGAAAGCCCACTGGCCTCTCCCCGTGGGGACACCCCGGGGAGACAGTGCCCAGGAAAGCCATAAGCATCCCACCCGGCCCACCCACATGTGGCCGGCACATGTCCTTCCAGGAGGGAGCAGCTGGAGGAAGAGGAGTGCGGGCCAGGAACCCGGAGAGCCGGAGAGCCGGAGAGACAGCCCACCGAGGGGCCAGCCCCACCCCCTGGGCAGCGTTCCAGGCCCTTCCACTCGTGCGGCCCCCACTCCACGGCAGGGAGCGTTACATGCCATGTGCCTGCTGTGGCGGGTCAGGGAGAGGGTGTCAGCCCGGCCAGCCTCCTCCGTGGCCCCCTGCCCCCCCCCCCCTAAGAGCAGGGGACCGTCCCCTGCTGGGGAGGACGGGCAGGACTGTAAAAGGGGGAGAGAAGAGAAACAGTGCCACAGCCGCCAGAGACAAGCTTGAACCATCTCCAAGTCCCCCTACCCCCTGTCTCCTTGGGTCTCTGCAAACACCCACAAGTACCAGCATCTACAGCCACAGACACTCACTAAGTCACAGGCAGCAACTTTCCTAGAAACCTCTAGCCTCCTTTTGGGATAGAAACATTTTTAAGCCTTGAGATGCGCCTGTCTGCCTCGCCAGTGGGACCAGCTGGAATCCGGCTGTGCCGCGCCAAGAGCCACCTGCCCTGGAGTCGGGGGAGGTCCCATTCTCCGTCTCCCCTTTACGGGTCGGCAACTCTGCCCCCGCAGCCCCCAGCCGCTCAAGTTTGGGGTCGCTAGCACTTCTCACTCACTGGGGCTTCCTGAGAAATAAATGTGCACTGAAGATCCATCCGCTCTGAGTATAAAGGCACCTGCTCCGAAGCGGGCCCCGGGAGGGCACCTGCGACCGTCACCAGCCCGCAGGTGACCCCCACCGGCCACCTGCCACCTCTGGACAACCTTCAGAGGCCAAAGTTGGGGAAGGCCGGCCACATCGACAGCAGGAGGCACCCCTGAGCGTGCGGCGGCCTCTGCGCACACATAAGGGCGCGTCTCCCAGCTCCGTCATCAGGTGAAGAAAGCAAGGTACCAAGCGGGTGCGGGGCACGCCACCCTCGGCTTGGCGAGGGCGCAGGACAGTCCCTCGACTCCTCAGTGTGCATCGGCATCTCTGTGGAAGGGAGACTCGCCACGCTGTCCCCTTCAGCGGGGACGCCGGCCGCAGGCAAGGGTGTGAGGACAACTGCCCGCAACACCCCCTTCGTGCTTTTTGAATGTTCAACTACGTGAATAAATGAAATTCAACAAAGATGGGGAAGGTAGGGTTGCTGGAAAAACCGTAGGATGCCCAGCTAGATCCTGCACAAAACACACACATGCTAAAAACTTCGTCGTTTGTCTGAAATTGAAGCTCGCCTGCGAGTCCTGCAGCGGCCTTGCTGAGGGGAGGGCTTAGAGCTGTCCCTGCCACCGCCTTGCAGGACGGGGCTCTGCTTCTGGGCACACGGTCTCTGAGCTCCGGCTCCATCGCCAGGCGCTGCTCTAGGCGCGGGGATGGCAGCCTGGACAGGCCGCTCCCCCTGCCCTGAGCCTGCCCATGTGGAGCTCACAGCGACAGCAGACAAGCAAAGAGGATAAACCAACAGGAGCACTTGCAAGCAAGCCGAGAGCGCCGCGGGCAGAGACAGCAGCAGTGACAAGCGTCCTGCGGCACAAAGAGCCTGGCAGTGGAGGGCAGGGGCTGGGGTGAAGGGCACTCAGGGGGAAAGGGGGGGCGGTCAGAGAAGAGGGCAGGGCCCAGAGCTGCAGGGTATGGGGTGAGGGGCTGGGTTGTATTCCATGACTGTGGGGTGGAAGCAGCCCCGAGGTACCCAGGAAGGGTTTCCCCAGATGCTAACTCAGCACCCAGGGCCCACGGCCGGGGAGGGGAGGTTGCTGAGCGGTTCCCGTCCCTAGGGAACATCACGGGGCCCAGGAGGCTCGCAGGCTGGCCCTCCGCTTCCCCCCCGCCACCCTGCAACACTGGCAGTCGGGCCAGCTCTGAGGACAGCCAGGGCCAGAGACAGAGGGAGCTGGAAAGAGCCCATCCTGTGGCCGACATTCTTGAGCAAGCCCCAAGGATGATTCACCGAGGCCGCCAGACGAGCTGGCCTCCCGCGGCAGGAAAGCAGGGCCTGTGTGGGCGCGGGGCAGGGCCAGGGCCCACTGCCTCGGAGCGGCCCAGCAGCTGCCTCTGCCTCGGGGTCCTGACGAAAGCGGGGCCTCCAAGCAGGTAGAGGCATCAGCCCGCGGGGCGGCCACCCACGGGGGCAGAACCCACGACACACCGAGGCTCCTGCCCGGTGGCCCCCTGGCCATTCCTTGCTGTCCTGAGTCTTATCCAAAGCATGTCTTACAAATGTGTCCTCTCAAAATCCGGGAAATGAGTGACAAACCCCTGGAAAATAAACTAGCAGTGACTATCATTTCTAGAATGTTTATGAGGTGCCCAGTTTGTGGTGAGCGGCTCGCTCACATGAGCTCTTTCTCCTCCTGAGGTAGGCATTGTAGTTGTTGCAAGTTCACTGAGGCCCAGAGAAGCTGTGTGGAGCCTAGAACACACTCAGTGACGGGGAGCTCACTCCCACCCCGGGCGGGCCTCTTCCCTACCTCTCCACAGCCTGGAAGGGAAAAACACTCTCCCTCCACGAGGGTCTTCCCCCAGGGTGTGGACCCCACTCGCCAGCACAGTCCCGGCCCAGAGGGTCTCCTCAGCCAGCCCCGCCCACCCTGCCCGCTGCTTCTGAGCCCTCGTACCCGGGGGTCGATGACCAGGTAGGTGCGGATGTTCATCTCTTTCAAGTAGGGGTCCCGCTGCTGCCCGTGCCCGTCCTCCACCTCATACGCCTTGTCCAGGTGGTTCAGCGTCGCCTCTGTGATGTGCACCCGGCTGGGGGAGACCGGCCCCGAGTCAGAGCTGCAGGGCCCAGAGAAGGCCAGCACCCACCCAGAGGGTGCACGGCACGCAGGGCCAAGCAGGCCAGAGCCCAGCCTGGCTCCCCCCAACGCGAGGTCATTGCTTCCATCTCTGACCCCACTCTGACCAACCCCCTACCCCTCCGCCCGCCCAGCCCAGAGCTGGCCCATGGCCTCTGACCCGGCCACGGTCCTGCTGAACCTCACCCAGGGACTCCAGCCGCCTCCATCCTGTTGGCCAGGGACACATCGTGGGACCACACGTCATACTGCCATTTGCGCAGCCCAATGACCCCGCACAGCACGTTCCCTGAGTGTATGCCCACACGCATGCTGATGTCCACGCCTGTGGCCTCTCGCACCTGCCTGGGCAGAGCAGTCCCGTCACCCCATCCCAGCCAGGGCTGCGGAGGGACCCAGGCGAGCCTCGGGTTCCTCATCTGCAAAGTGGGTACAGTGCATTCCCTACCATGCCCTGGGAAGCAGGAGGGGTCCGTGATGGGGACAGGACCCAGTGCCCAGGCCTGCCCAGAGTACCTACTTAATGGCCTCACACATGTCCAGCCCCATCTTCACGCAGTTCCGGGCATGGGTGGGCAGGGATACGGGCAGACCCGACACGCAGTAGTAGCAGTCCCCCAGGATCTTGATCCGCATACACTCATTGGCCTGCAGGGAGGAGAGCATTCCAGGCAGATGAAAGACGCAGCATGTGCAAAGGCCCGGCAGGCGGAAAGCTGTTTGAGTACCCGGCAAAGCAGCCCGTGCGGCTGAGGTGGAGGAAGTAGAGGACATGAAGACAGGTGGCAGGTGCCACAAGCCAAGGGGCCAGCAGGTGTCAAGGTAACCCGAGAGATGGCTAGGCAGCCAGGGATGCAAACCAGCATCCGGGGAGTGGGGAGAGGACAGAAAGATGGGAGTGAATGCTGAGGCTAGGGTCACATAGGAAAATGCCCCTGAGGAGATGGGCGGCCCAGCAGACTGTCTGAGGTTCCATCTGAGGTACTACTGCGACCACTGGGCTTTCTGTCAGCTCTTGGCCAAGGTGGGGTGGGGATTTAGAGACTCTGAAGAAGGGGCTACATGCCGGCTCCAGGCCCACTCCCCAGGCTCCCCGGGCCCAGCTGCAGCCCTCACGGGGGCCTTAGCAGGCAGCTAGAAGACCTCCCTCTCCCCATCTGTACAAAGGGCCTGCCTCCTGCACCTGCCACAGAGGGAGAGCTGCGTCCAAGAGGACAAGGGCAGGTCCCTGGGCTGTGTGGCAGGGAAAGGGCCATGTGCGACCGGAAGCCCAGGCCCCTAGCCCACATATGGCCCAGCTACTGGGAACCCCCACCTGCTTGTTTAAGGGATGTCATGAAGGAAGGAGGCTCCTGAAAGAAGGCTCCAGACTAGACAGGCCCTCCGAATCACTTGGTCCGCAATACCCTGAGGGACAGTGCTCCGGGGCACCCCTGGCCTGAAGTTTGGTCACCGCCCTGCGGTGGTCTTCCCCTAAGAGGGAGGCCACTCCTGGTGAGGCAGTCCCTCCTAGAACAGAGCAGCTCTGACCACGAGAAGGTCTTCCTAGTGTGGGGCCCGAACTTGCTTCCCACCAAGGCCCAGACCATTGATTCTCCGCCCGCGGAGGCGCCCAGGGGACGCTTTGGAACTCGCCCAGGCGTGGGCACAGGCTGGCTTTTACTGACGCTCTCGACAGGATTCGAACGTGCAGCCAGCGCAGATGGCCACGGCCTTAAATCTTAACACCCGGGTCTCTGCTTAGTGGCCACCACTAAGTCTGTCTTCACCGGAAGCTGGGCCAGGTGCTCCCCAGGCCCCCCAGCCCCCTACACCCCCTCTTCAAAGCTCAGAGCATACAGGCCGGGGGCAATCGGAGGGCAGGCCCAAGGCCACAGGAGCTCAAGGCTGCCACGTGGCAGGTCTCAGGACTATTTGATGCGTTAATGAATGAGTGCACGCATGCACACATGTACACACACACGCCCACAACCCCCACCCCCATCCCCACCCCCGGGCTCCATGCCACCCAGGAAGACCAACAGTGAGCTCAGCCCTGCCCTGCCCGTCTCCAGACCTCTCCCTGCTCAGCTGTACCTGGGAGCCCCTCCTCACCCCATACCCTCCCCTGCTCAGCACCTGCCACGTTCCCCAGTGTCCTCAGGTCAAGTCCTCCTCACCTCAGCCCTAAATCCTTGCACGTCTGCCCCTGGCACCTCGATCCCCTCATACCCCACCCAGTCACACTGGGCCACGCCCATTCCAAGGGCCCCCAGAGGCTTCTTTCTCCTCCAGCCTTTTGCACACACTCTTCCCTCTGCCCAGAACTGCTCCTTTTCCTCTTCAGGGTCTCTTTCTAGGTTTCTCAAACTTTAATGTGCGCGCATGGTTCACCAGAGATCTCGTCGGGAGGCAGACTGGGGGCGAGGCCCAGCACTGAGATGGAGGCATCTCCTCCCCCAGGCAGCCTTCCTGAGCGCCCCCTGAGCGCCTGAGCCCCTGTGCGTGCCCCCGCACGTACTGGCAGTCTCCCACCAGCCTCACTCTCTGGGGACAGGGTCCTGGCCGCCGTGGCCACCCCGCAAGCCCACCGCCACCGTGGAACGCTCACAAGCGGTTGCCGACTGAGTGCCGAAGTTCAGCCGGGGCCTCTGCATGCCCATCTCGGCACAGCACTGGGCAGAGGCCACCCCCGGGGGGCAAGGGGCCGGCACAAAGGCCTGCGGGCTCACCTTGGCGATCTGGTCAAACTTGCCGAAGAGTTCGTTCAGCACCACCACCAGCTCTTTGGGGGAGCAGTCGCTGGCCAGCCGCGTGAAGCCCACGATGTCAGCATAGAGGATGCTGGGGGGGGCGGGGGGGTGGGGGGTCAGCGCCAGGCCCCTGGTAGCCCCTGAGCGCCTGCCGGCCCTGACCCCAGTCTCCCCGGCCACTCCTCAGCCTCCAGAGGGATGGGACAGAAGCCCAGGGCCGTAAGGATGAATGAACGTTCCAGAGGCTTGGCATTAAAGGCAAAAGGCGGCAGCCCGGAGTTGCAGGGCCCTTGAGAACTGCCACCCCCAGGCCCCCCATCACCGCAGACCGCAGCATGGGGGCGCCTCAGAACGTCCTTCTCCCTCCTCACGCCTTCAGAACTAAACCCCGTGGCGAGATGTGGCCCCACGCTCCCCAGGGCTGAGCTCCATGCCCGACACCTTACACGCACACTACCCTGGGAGGACTCCCATCCCACAGATGAGCAAACCGAGGCTCGGGCTGAGGCCGGCTGGAAACCAGAGCGGCAGCATGTGCCAGATCTCCCAGCTCCAGAGTCCGTGAGCTCCGGACCAACCAGCTCACGGCACCCACCCCTCCGGTTCACTGAGGCTGGTGCCTTCGCGTAAGATGCTGTAGCCCCTTCGAATCCGCCAAGGCCTGGGAGACGTCACCTCTTTTGGGGGGCCTGTGCCCCCTTGAGAATCACCTGAAAGGACCCCCTTCTTCCCCGAAGTGCTACTTAGGCACAGAGTTTTACAACTGTAGGGGGCTACCGGATCTCCCCCGACACCAGCGCGATCTGATCCCACCCCCCGGGGAAACAAATGGGGAGACTGAGGCCAGCCCCCCGGGGGACCCCGCGCACAGGCCCGGCCGGCCACCCACCTGACGTTCTGGTGCCGCTTGACGTACAGGCTGTGAAAGTTGTTGTCGGGCATGTAGCGGCGGTCCCCGCGCTCCTTGAGCCGCTCGATGATGGCGAGCTTCATGCCCATGGAGATGTGGGCCGGCAGCACGGACAGCAGCAGGTTCTCCTGGGCCCCGGGGAGGCGGGGGACAGGCAGGGGGACGTCAGGCCCCAGGCTCGGCGACCTGGCCTCGGTTTTCCCTATGGCCCTGCCTGCTCTGCCCACGGCCCCCTCCATCCCCGCCAGCCTGCATCCTGCCCCCAAGCCAGCCCGGCCCCCGGCCTCCTGCGCCCCCGGCAGCCCCTGCGGTGAGGCCGGCATGGGCGTCCACCCTGCGCCCCAGGCACACGCTCTTCAGTGAGCGTCTGACGTGCAAAGAGAAAGGACGCAGGGCGTGGGGCCCGGGCAGGGCCAGGCTCGGGCTCCAGGGGGAAGCGGCGTCCACACCTGCTGGCGCTTTTCGATGCGCAGCTTACGCCGGATCTGGATGCACTTCACGGTGTAGGTGAAGAGCTCTCGGGAGGCGTCCTGCATCTGGTGCTTGTGGAAGGCGCCCGTGAGGTTCCCGCACAGGAAGATGACCGCATTGGCCAGCAGCTGGGGGCGAGGCGAGCGTGGGCTCAGCATTCAGCCTGGCCTGCGCCCCGGGGTACCAGCCCTCGGCGGGCTGGTGGTGGCACCCCACCCCCATTCTCTGACCTCCCGCCCGCTCGGGCCGGCACCCTTCGTAGGCAGGCAGGGAAACGGGAGCCCAGATGGGCACTGGTCCCCTAGAGTCACTGTGACTCTAAGACCAGGTCTCAGGCCCTTCTCTGCAGCCAGAAAACTAGAGCCCCAGAGACCAGGGAAGCAGAAGTGCATCACATCACAGAGCCCAGAGCCCAAGGGGGGGCCTCGAGGACAGTCACAGAAGGCATGGCGCCCCGATGAGTGCCCAGAGCTCTGGGTTCTATTTTCCAGAACCGCTGCAAGGCCAGGTCGGAGGAAACCCCCTCTGCGGACCACCACAAATTGTGCATGTCTCAGTCACTCAATGCAGAGACAAGACGGGGTGCCCAGGGATACTCCCAGCCCTGTCGGGACAGGGTTCTGCAGGGCGGACTCACCCTCACAGCAGTGCGCTGGACCCAGGGAAGAGGGCCGGAGCATCTGGGGCACTGCAGGCTAACCGAGAAAGGCTGCAGGGCATGTCCCCGCCCTGGGGGCCGGCTTCCCTACCCACTGGGAGGCGCTGAGGCCTCAGGACCAGCTCACCTACACCCATCTCCGCCATCCTCAGGCCCAAACCACAGCCTCTGCCCAGGGGCCTTCGCCTGCCCCGCCCCCAGACCCCTGTGCGCACCTCACCTGCAGTCCCACCTGGATGCTGGGCTTCGTGAAGGCCTCCTTCAGGGCTCCAAGCACCAGGAGGTGGGAGATGCTGGAGATCACCCCTGCCACGATGGCCCCCTGCATGCTGAAGGGCAGCAGCGTGTACACCACGAAGACGATGAACAGGAGGAAGGGCACCTGGGGGCAGGGCGTCGGGGAGGCTCGGGGACTGGCCACGCTGCCCCCACCCCAGGACACAGCCCCAGACAGAACTGACATGGGGGCCCCCACAGCCGCTTGTCTTCTGGGGATGGCCCCAGAAACCTGAATCCTGAGCTCCCTGCCCCCAGGGCGGCCCACTCCTTTCTCATGTGGGGCGGGACAGTGACAAACACACAATGGAACAAGAAAAAGCCAAACTCCGTATCTGGGTCAGACCCAGCCAACATTATCCATCATTTCCTACGAGCTGATTTATGATCTGGGGCCAAGGCCAAGCCTCCCCAGGAGTGAGACTCCAGGCCCCCGGGACCCAGGGCGTGCCCGCCTGGCGCCCACTGCTGAGGCTCTCCCTCTACTGAGGCTCTCCCTCTACTGGACGGCTGGGGCCGCCCACTCACCTGCCGCCTCCAGCAGCGCAGCCCCACCCACCGCCCCCAGTCTGCCTGGCTTCCCTGTGCCTCAGCCCACCCCAGCCCACCAGAGGCGACAGTGACCAGCCAGGCCAGTGTGACTCAAGCTGGTTAAGAAAAAGGTTTCTCTTTCAGCTGCAGGGGAGGGGGGACAAGCTGGTGGGGGGGCTGCCTGGAGCCTGGGCAGCATCCGTGCCCGACCTGGGGACGGCCTTCTGGGAATGAAATGACACAGAGGAAAACAGAACAGAGGGCAATCGGGACCTGGCCATCCTGCCAGAGGCCCAGGACTGGCCCCCCAGCCTCTCCTGGCACATGGGCCAATTTGTGCCTTTTTGTCTCTGAGTTGGAGTTGTGTCATTTCCAACCAAATGAGCTCCCCCTACGATGCGCCAGCCAGACATCCACAGGGACGCTCCTCCCAGTTCATCCAGCTCCTCAGCTCAGGGAGCGGAGGGGACAAAATCAGCCCAGGGCCCGCCTTCTGTTGCAGAACCACAGCCCGTAGGAGGAGGAAGGCCCCAGGCCAGCACACCAGATGCAGGCCCTGTCTCCAGAAGGGACCTGATGCCCAGCGAGGGCAGGAGTTGTTGGGTGCACAGCTGGCTGGTGGCATCCAGCCGCCCCCCGGGGATGCCAGGGTTTACCTGTGCCCAGATAGGAGCCGCCTTCATCCACGAGTCGAACACCAGCGTGTAGCCCAGCATCATGAGGCAGACCCAGATGAGCAGCGCCAAGGCCCTGAGCCACCGCCGGACGAGGCACTCAACATACACCAGCACGTAGAGAGCCACAAACACGGCAAGCGTGAAGAAGGCCATCCCCAGGACAGCCTGGTGTCTGGAGGGGTCCTGGGCAGGGCACACATACACGGAAATGCCATAGCTTTCCCCAGTGAGATGCGCCGTCCCCTCCAGGAAGCCTGCCAGGCTCGCCTGTCCAGCCTGCCCTGAGCAATGTCACCTGCGCTCTCCTCTGCGGGGCTGGTGTTTGTGCTCCCTCTAAGCACCGTGCTCTGCCTTCCCTTCAGGCTGTGTGCTGTCATGGCTAAGGCCTTCACCGCCACCTTCCCCCAGTCCCCGCGCAGCCCTGAGACGCTACCACTCCGAGCCCTCCCCACTGGGCCTCCTCTGCTCGCAGGGTGCTCTGTGCGTGCCCAGAGGGGGACAGCACAGGAGCTCGGCTGGGGAAAGGAGGAGACGCTGACCCAAGGCATCCCACACAAGGGGACAAGCTGGAGCAAAGGTACAGAGATGTGACACTGGGAGGTGGCGACCAGGACAGGCGAGTCACAGCTGGGTCAGCAGGGTCTCCCCCTGGACCCCGAAGCTCCGTGGGCACAGAGGCTGATCTGGGGGCCGGCACACAGTAGGCACTCTGGAACCATTTGCTGGAACGAACGTCCTGCGCTTTACAGGCACGCAGATCCAGGCAGCACGGACAGAGGCCCTACTGGGTGCCGGCCACTCTACACACCTCACCCTGCTAATTCCCGGGCGTCTCGGAGGTCTTCTAGAATTCTGCTCTCCCACAGAGTAGCTACTAGCCACGTGTGTCTATTCAAGATCAATCTTACGTGACTTAAAAATCCAGCTCCTCCGTCATACTCGCCACGTGTCCGGCACTCAGCAGCCACACCGAGGCAGTGGCCATGGCGGGCCGAGGTCACGAATGACGTTGGTGGCACCCTCCTGGAGAGCGGGGCTGAGAAGGCCCCCAGGGCCACAGCCCGGCTCTGGGAGGAGGAGCACCGGGAATGGGAGCCACCCCTGCCCTCGGTCTTCAGCAGAATCCGAGTTTGTTTTGGAGAAAAGGGAGGGTCGTTACCCGGGTCAAATTAATGTAATCTCTAAAACCACCCCAGACTTGAAAATGAATCCGAGAAACCTGCCTCCCGGGGCCTAAGCACGCCCCAGAGGCCCCGACAGGCACGGACAGTGGGCAGAGAGCGGCCCCGCGAGCACCAGGCAGCAGAGCCGAGCACCCAGCCTCCCGCGGGCCGCCCCACTCACCCCGCAGGAGAAGGTGATGATGATGAGGGCGACGCAGGCGGTGATGGCCACCAGCAGGAGCGTGAGCAGCAGTGGCCCGTGCTGGCTGGTGAGGCGGTACTTCTCGTAGAGCGCCGTCTGGTCCGGGCCCTCTGCGCCCTCGTTGAGGAAATAGCGCCCCTTGGCCGGCATTGTCCCCCCGCGGCACCCCGGCCCGGCAGCCCACTCGGGAGAGCCCGCGGCCCGGGGCGCATCCGTCCGCCGACAGCCGGCTGGCCTAGGCCTCTGGCCGCGGGGAGCCTGGCAGGCGGGGCTGGGGAGGGGCCCCAGGGGCCTGCAGCCCCATGGGCAGCGCGGGGCCCACGCCGCTCCTCCACGGCCAGGCCTGCTCACAGCACCGCCACTCTCTTCCTCTGCACCCGGGCCAGGCTGACCAGACACGTGGGGTCCTCAGCTCTGCGGAGACACAAAGCAGGTCTGGGTTTGACCTGGACGGGCCGAGTGAGGGAAGGACGGGCGGCAGGGGAGAGCGGGGCCAGGCCTTATCTGGGTCTCATCTACCAACCCGAACCCAAACCGAACTTTTAGATCCTATTTGAAGCCTTGCCCTCCAAGCTCGTCCGCTGGGTTTCCTAGAACTGCGCTCTCCCCGACAGTAGCCACACGTGACTGTGGGAAGTTACACTTAACTGGATTAGAAGTGAAAATTAAAATTCAGACCAGCAGTCACACTGGTCCCATTCATGTCAAGGGCTCAGAAGCCACACACGGCTCCAGGCTCTTGTATCGGGCAGCAGAGATAAGAGCATTTCTATCGGGGCACCTGGGTGGCTCAGCCGTTTAGCGTCTGCCTTCAGCTCAGGTCACGATCCCGGAGTCCTGGGATCGAGCCCCGCATTGGGCTCCTTGCTCGGCGGGGAGCCTGCTTCTCCCTCTCCCACTCCCCCTGCTTGTGTTCCCTCTCTCGCTGTCTCTCTCTCTCTGTCAAAAAATAAATAAAAATTAAAAAAAAAAAAAACTTAGAAAAAAAAGAGCATTTCTGTCATCCAGAACCTTCTACCGGACAGCACTGCTCTGCAGGTTAGATGGTGTTGCTTTCACAAAGAGATCTCTGATCCATCCCAGGGAGTCTCTGTGCACGGCGTGAGGCAGGGATCAGCCTTCGCACCTTCCTTCCACGTGGGTCTCTAACCACCCCAGTGGCTTCCGGCAAAGCCACCATTCCTTCCTCAAGAAGTTCAGTGAAGCCACCTCTGTGTTAAGTCAGGTGACCGTGCGCATGGGGTCTGTTTGCAGGCTTTCTCCTGTTCTGATGGTCCTTGCGCAAAGGTCACTCTCTCTCAGTGACTGGGGCTCTCTGGTGAGATTTGTACCTCAGACCCTCACACCCAGGACACCCAGAGCATCGCCCTTGCATTCGTGTTATGTTAAGCTTCCTCGTAAGACTGCATTTTGGAAATGCGTTTTTTAAAATTTCCACTGACCGACCAGAACGTAAGAAGTTTGCGAGCTCCACCTCGTAGAAATGGACCCCGAACCTCAGAGAGGGAAGCAGAGCGGACCGCGTGTGACAAGCTGGGCGCGGGGGCCAGGCTTGCAGTGCTCAGCCCACACGCGCTCCCCCTTTCCCCAGCACCGTTCGTCCATCTGCTCATTCATTTATTCCAAAAGGCCTGTCATCGTGCCCGTGCCCCAGGCCAGCTCTCTCTCCGCATGGAGCTCCCGTCCCCACAAAGAGAAAGTTACCGGAAAATGTACAATCCCTATGTGCAGTGACTGAGGTCTGGGGGCAGGAGTCCAGGCCCCCAACATCCTCCAGGCCTGCCTCAGAGCCTGGAACAGGGACAGGGCAGGTGGCAGAGGGCAGGGAGGCCGTAAGAGGTGGGAAGGCCCAGGGCGGTCACGACGGGCACGAACGGCCACCGGCAAAAGCTGTGAAGGAAAGGCAGTCCGGAGCGCCCAGAGGCAGAAGAGCAGGAGTCCCAGGGTCCGAGTGAGGCCCCCCAGTGAGCGCCCACCTTAGATCCACAAGCCACCTCGGGCACAGATCCCTCCGGGAGCTGCTATGCCACAAATTCCAGGAACGAATTGGAAAAACCCCATATTGGGGGTTCGGGGGGAGAGGCCATTTGCCGGAGGTCCTGGATGCCTCCGTGGCTCTAGGCCCGGCAGGTGTCCACAAGCCTTGCCACCTGTGGAAGGCCGGCAGCTCTGCGGGGGCTGGGCCCAGGGCTACCCAAGTGCCCGAAGCCTGGACAACCTGCAGAGCTGGTTTCGACGGGAAGCACCAACTTAACCAATGCCGGCAGCCGATTCAAAAACGTGAGTTGTGCAGCCACTCATTTGCGACCTCTGACTCTGAACTAACCAGTCTCGATTCCACACGAGGCATGTTTCGACTACTAACCACATACGCCTAGCCCTGGGTTGTAGGGTTTACAAAACGAGAGCGGCTCCCTGCCCTGAGAAGACCCCAGCGCAGGGGCGCCCCCCAAACCAGCTCTTTACCGTCAACGCCGTCATGCCAGGCGCCCACACACACATATCCGCTCTCATCTGCAGAACAGCCGTTTTACAGATGCAGAGCTGAGCCCAGAGAGGTCGCGCGGCTCACCGAAGAGCACACAGCCAGAGCTGCTCGGGGGCAGTGCTGGGCTCCACACCCGGGTCCGCCAGCTCCCAAACCCGGGCTCCTGGCCGGCCTCGCGCTCTCGCTGAACTGAGAGAGGCTTCCCCAGGGAGCTCCCGCTAGCGGGGGCAGCTCCCGGGGACGGAACCACTTGCCACAAATACACACAGCACAGCCTGGCCCTCCGGCCTGCTGCCAAACTCCGGTGCGCCGGGACCCGACTGCCAGGCCCAGAAACCTCGAACACCAAGGGCCCAGGACAACAACAACTACCCCCGCCAGGGGCTCTCTCCCCCACCCCAGGCAAAGCGCCCAGACCAGAGCCGGGAGCGGCCAGGACACCCCAGAACTGACCTGCCCCTCCAGGCACACGCAGCCAGGCTGAGGCAGGCGTGCAGAGAGGAGCAGTTGGAAGGTTCCCGGGGGCCCGTGGGAACCCAGGCCTGGTAAACACTGCTCTAGGGATCTAATTAGGCCACTTCCTGGGCAACGGCAGGCGGCAGAGAACGTGGACAATAGACAGCCCTGGGCACGGGGACCCCGGCCCGTGCGGGGACGTGGTCCCGCTCCTGGGACAGCAGGGCAGGGCTGGGGGCTGGGAGGAAAGATGCATTTGTCGCTCCTGGAGAGATGGTCTGCGAGTCCCCCGCGGCATCTCCACAGTCCCGCGCCTCCCTAGCAGCAACCCCCCCAAAACCAGACAGGGAGCCCCCCTGCCAGGGAAGGCTTCGAGGCCCCTCTGTCCCATCACCGGTTCCTCGACTGGCCGCTGACACCACTGGCGACTGGGAGGGCTGGGACTCAGGGCAGGTGGCAGAGGGCAGGGAGGCCATAGATGAAGGCCCCGGATGAAGGAACTCCTTCACCACGTGTCCAACAAATGACCCCGCAGCCTCGGCTTGCCCACCTCAGTGACGGGGAGCTCATCACCTCTCAGGGCAGTCTTCTCTGTGAGTGGGCACTCCTCCTGGCTGTAAGTCCCACCTCAGGTCAAGCGAAGCCCTACCTCCCTGTCACTCCCTCACCCCCACCCCACCGGAAGTCTGAAGTCCCAAGACACCGACGGCAGAGATATGCACTTGGGACAGTCGAGGCCCCTTCACCTGGAGGAAGTGGAGCCCAGGGGTCACTCACTGTCATTCACACCTCACAATCACGCTGGTGGGGGAGCAGGGCAAGCAGCCCCATTTTACAGAGGAGGGAACCCCCAAGGGCCCAGCTGGGAGAGGGACGTTACTTCTACTTCTGCTGGGACTTTCTCTCCCACTGTCGGTCCCCTGGGTCAGGGACCGCATGACCCAGGCTGGCTCATCACCACTGTCCCTCTCAAGCCCCAATGACTGGTTTAGGGACGGTCGTGTGACCAAAATCCTCTCAGTGAGAACCCTCTTTGGGACTTCTGCTGACCCACAGCGAAGAGGCACTGTCTTCTCCTGCTGGCCTACGGCGGCAGGCAGCTGCTTGAAGCCACCGTAAGAGACAGCCCACGGAGAATGAGCCAACACGGGAAACTGGAGAGACACAGGCTCGAAAATACCCCCCTGAACGCCTAGATCCAGCTCCGCCTGAAGTTCAAGCAACCTCCAGATAATTCAATCGCACCGAGTAATCATGCCTCTTTTGGCTGAAGCCAGTGTGAATTTCTGTCACTTGCAATCAACAGTGCCAAGGTCCATGTGGCCCCAGTTTACCATATCCAGGAATCCCTCATTGAGGGTCAGGGGACAGAGTCCAGGGTCGGGGTCCAGGGGCAGGGGACAGAGTCCCACTTAGCTCAGAGGTGAGAGTAGGTCCCTGCAGACAAGGCTGGTCCTGGCTAAGGCCTCCTGGAAGGGGGCTGGGCCAAGGAGGGGAACCCCCCTCGCTCATACTTCTGTCACCTCGTCCCAAACTCCACAGCCCAGGGCCAGCCATCCTGCATAGGACCTGGGGCAGCAGGAGGCGGGGGCAAGGGGACTCCCCACATCTTCTCTAGTGGCCTCCAGAGACTCCCCCCTGCAGGAGGAATTAGGGAGCCCAGCGGCATGCTCAGGTAGAAATGAAGGCCAAGGGAATCACTCCTGGTGGGCTCTGCACTCCTGCAGCCCATGTCCCGCGCCAGCCCGGGGCAGACGATGCCGTGAACAGAATCTAGTGGGTGCTTACCATGTGCCCATGGGGCTCTAACTCCGCACACCGGCCCTGCAGGGGAGTAAGACCACTGCTTCCCTTTTATGGATGTGGGGACACTGAGAGGTTCAGTCATTTTCCTGAGGTCACACAGCCAGCAAAAGAGAGCCAGGATGTGAACACAGGTCACCCCCTCGCATCCTGCTCAATGCCCTCACGGTGCTGACATCCACAGAGCCCATAACATCTCCAAATGCCAACCCCTCTCTGCCCTCCCCTCTCAAGGCCTAGGATAGAGGGTGAGAAGCAAAGAGGACTCCATCAAGGTACCTCCCTCTGCCTCCCAGAAGCAAGGTCAGACAGCCACGTCAGGAAGCCTGCTCTGAGCCAGCAAGATCCAGAAGCACCACCTCCTCCAGGCAGCCCTCTGAGCTACACACACACACACACACAACCCCCCCCCCCTTCCCTGCAACTCAGGACTGTGGTCTCCTTGCCAAACACTGACTGGCGGGGTCTGGGTTCCTCAGCCAGAGAGCTGCTGGAAATAGGGAGCTGGGACCTCAAATTATGAGGGCAGGACCAGGCCCTTGGGGGTGCTCAAGAAACCCTTCCCCAGCAGAAGTGGCTGATCCAGCAGCACCCCAGCGCTCCCACCCCCTGTGGGGAGCTCTAGACCACCCCCAACTTTCCCAGACACAGAGAAAGCACCCACTTC